TGCACGCGCCCGCGTCCGCGCCCACGCCCGCGCCCGCGCCCGCGCCCGCCCGCCCTCAAGCCCGCCCGTCGTCCGCCCGCCTGCCCGTCTGCCCGTCGTCCGCCTGCCCGCCCGCCCTTTGGACTGGCCTCAGGATGCGACGGGTCGGAGTTATCTTTATGGAAAAGGAGTAAAGGAGGAGGAGGTGGAGGAGGAGGAGGAGTTGCTGGACAGTCAAGAGGGGCAGGAGAAGCAGGGGAAGGCAGGAGCAGGATAGGGCAGCAGCAGGAGCAGGAGAGGAGCAGCCCGCGCCCGCTCGCCAGGCCACGAGGCCCGGGCGGAGCATGCAGAATTGAGGCGCGCGGCCTGCGCGCGCACCGGCGGGGGCTGGTGTTGCGCCTGGCGGCGCGTGCGCGCGCGTGGCGCGGGCGGGCTGTGGCTCGCCGTGGGCACCAGTTGGCTTCGGCGGCGGCGGCGACGACGACGACGACGGAGACGACGATGACGACGCTGTGGCTCGCCCGCTTGAGCTGGGCAACTTCGACGACGATGCCAGCGCGGCGGCGGCGACGACGGCGACAGGTGCGGCGATATAACGGCTCAGCATCGTCTGACTTGTCCCCATCTCTTTTTGGCCTGTGTCTCATCGCCATCGGCCTTTCCCCCCCCGATGGAGACAGTTCACGTGAAACCCGAAGGGATCCGTGTATTGTAGTGGCCTCCAGCCTGTGCCGCTAATTTGGGCGTTCTCAACGCTGTCGAAGACTTCGGCGACGAAGATGACGACAAACGACGAATGTCGACGGATTGTCGACGACGGCCGTTGACGAGGACCGACGACAACGACGACGAGGACGACTGACGACGACGATGGGCGCTTCACGGCGAGCGATGGCCGACGATCGACGAGCAGCGACGGCGCCGATGACGACGATGACGGTGTGGAGCTGCGAACGATGCGGGCCGGGGTTGAACCGGTGCCAGGCTGTTGGAGGCCTCCAGAGACACCAGGAAGGCTCTGGAGGCCCGGGACTTGTGCTGGCCTCCAGGGGGAGGGAAGTCAGAGGCGGTCTGATCGTTCACTCGCAGACCGACCTCTGCCGTGGCGACCCACTCGCCTCGCTCCCAGGCGTGGGCAGGCGGGTAGAGGGGAGCATCGAGGGCCAGGGGGTCGTCACGGAATGGGGCTCGTCACCGAAGGGGTTTTTGAGGCCACGCCCGAAGGCAGAGCACCGTCCTCCCACACCCTCACTCCTCCCCTCCCCCTCCAGAGGTGACCTTCTTCCTCGTCGTCGTCGTCGTCCTCTTCCTTCTCCTCCTCATTGCCGTTGGTAGTTGCAGTTGCAGCAGTGTGGTCGTAGTAGAGGGAAGTTGTGTGATTAGTGCAGATGGCAACAGAGGGGAGAGTGCATGACTGGGGGAGAGGATGAGGGGGGAGGTTAGAGTCGGGAGAATGCGGGGTCAGGAGCGACGGGGAGGAGCCATGATACATGCACACGTGTTTGTTTATACCTCTACAGATATTCATGAAGAAATCAAGTCGCCTACACATCCACACGCAGTAAAGACAGAGAGAGAGAGAGAAAGATGGAGAGAGAGAGAGAGAGATAGAGAGAGAGAGAGAGAGCGAGAGGGAGAGAGGGTCACAGGGATACGCCACAGGTATAAATATACATGTCAAAAGGGCCGAACACAACGTACATAGCAGAGATACGGATCACAACATAACGCATGTATCCATAGGGGAATGACGAGGTGGACGAGACGGCGAGGGGAGGAGAGAATGGGAGAGATAAAGACACCGATGCCGACGCCGACGCCGATGCCGATGACGACGGCACCGATTCTGATAACGTCGACGACGATGATGCTGATGATGATTATGATGCTGTTGCTGATGATTATGATGCTGATGATTATTATGATGCTGATAATTAACATTATGCTGATGACGATGCTGATTCTGCTGCTGATGATGCTGATGATTATTTGATGGAGGTGGTGATGATGATGTCGATTACGATGATGATGCTGATGATGCTGATGGTGATGCTGATGAGGATGAGAATGCTGATGCTGATGACGATGCTGATGCTGATGATAATGATGATGCTGCTGATGCTGATGCTGATGCTGATGCTGATGATGCTGATGATGCTGATGATGTTGATGATCACGGTGATGCTGGCGATGACGAGTGCAAATATGCTGGTCAGTATGCTGATGAAGATTGTGGTGGTGGTGGTCATGATTTGGATTCCGAGGATTCTGAGGATTCTGAGGATGATGGATCAGGATGAGGGTTCTGATGATGATGGAGATACTGATACGGATAGTTCTGATGCTGGGCATGACATATGGAGGATGGTCATGCGATGGACAGAGGCGGTGAAGGAGGAGGAGGAGGAGTTGAAGGAGAAGGGCGATGGGGATGGAGGAGGAATATGTGCTATGAGCCAAAAGTGAGGAGGACGAGGAGGGAGGAGGGGTAGAGAGGTAGCAGCAAAGAGGATCGGCTGGCGATGCTTGATGATGATGATGCTGCTGATGCTGATGGTCATGATGACTCTGATAACGATGATGCTGCTTATGCTGATGATGCTGATGATGATGATGCTGATGATGATTATGATGATGATGATGGTGGTGGTGGTGATGACGATTCCAGTGCTGATGATGGTGATGACGCCAGCACCAATGTTGCTGATGGTGACGATGATGATCATGATGATGCTGATGGTGATGATTCTGTTGATTATGATGATGATGCTGATGCTGATGGTGCTGCTGATGCTGATGATGATGGTGGTGGTGATGCTGATGCCAGGGCTGATGATGATGATTACGCCGACATCGCTGCTGCTGACGAGACGGCGAGTGAAGAAGAGAATGTGAGAGATAACGACGCCGATGCCGACGCTGACGCCGATGCCGACGATTACGGCAGCGATTCTGATGATGACGACGATGCTGATTCTGATGATGATGCTGCTGATGCTGATGGTCATGATGACTCTGATAACGATAATGCTGCTTATGTTGATGATGCTGATGATGCTGATGATGATGCTGATGATGATGATGATGATGAATTTGAGAAGTATGATGATGGCAATGATGATGATGATGATGATGATGATGCTGATGATGATGATGATGATGATGCTGGTAATGCTGATGCTTACGATTCTGATCATGATGGTGATGCTGAGGATCACAATGATGATGCTGCTGGTGGTGATGCTAATGTTGTTGCTGCTGCTGATGATGATGATGCCAATGATGATGATGATGATGATGATGCTGATTTTGATGATGCTGCTGATTATGATGATGATCAGGATGATGCTCATGCTGCTGCTGATGATGATGATGATGATGATTTTGGCACGTATGACGATGCTGTTGATGATGATGCTGATGATGATGCGGACTAGCATCATGACGATGTTGATGTTGCTGCTGAGTATGATGATGCTGATGATGATGCTGATGATGATGATGCTGTTGATGCTGATGATGAGGATGATGCTGTTGATGATGATGATGATGACAATGATACTGATACTGATGCTGCTGATGCTGATGCTGCTGTTGCTGATGCTGATGCTGATGCTGATGATGTCGATGATGATGATGATGATGATGATGATGATGATGACGATGATGCAGATGATCATCATCAGCATGGTGCTGTCGATGACTTTGATCATGTTCATGACGACGATTCTGATAGTGAACATGATCAGTATGAGGACGATGAAGATGATGACCAGGACGATTATGATGACGATGGTGCGTATGAAGATGACGTTGTTGATGACTAGGGTCATGGTGATGGTGGCTGTGATGGTGATGATGGCGGTGGTGGTGTTGGTGGTGGTGATTGTGATGGTGATGATGATGCTGATGATGAGGATGATGATTAGGATGATTATGTTGATGTTGATGATGATGATGATGATGATGGTATGATGATGATGATGATGATGATGATGATGATGATGATGCTAAGGATGATGATGATGATGATGATGATGATGATGATGATGATGATGATGATGATGATGATGATGATGATGAGGCTGATGCTGATGCTGATGCTGATGCTGATGCTAATGCTGATGCTGATGCTGATGCTGATGATGATGCTGCTGCTGATGCTGATGCTGATGATGATGCTGCTGCTGATGATGATGCTGAGGGGGAGGAGGAGGAGGAGGGGCAGGAGAAGGGAGGAGGAGCAGGAGAAGGGAGGAGGAGGCGGACATGAATGATGATGATGATGATGATGATGATGATGATGATGATGATGATGATGATGATGATGATGATGATGATGATGATGATGATGATGATGATGATGATGATGAGGATGAGGATGAGGATGAGGATGAGGATGAGGATGAGGATGAGGATGAGGATGAGGATGAGGATGCCGAGGCTGGTTAGAGTCAGAGGGCGCAGAGCCATCTCAGTGACTGCAACTGGAGGTCTGGGAGGATGGGGGGAGGAGCCGCCGTTCTCGTCGCTGGTCGTCCGCCGCAGTCATGGTGCGTCGTCGCCGTCCTCGTCGCTGGTCGTCCGCCCCCGTCCTCGTCGCCGCCGGCGTCGTCGGTCCGATGCAGCTCGCTGCGGGCACCAGGGAAGGGCGCGGGCGCGCGGAGCGGGGGACGGCGGAGAGTCGGACGCAGCTGCCCGTGGGCAGACTGCTCGGGTTGGGGAGGCCTCGGCGCCGGCGGCCGTCGCGCCCGTGGTGTGCGCTCCCGAGCCTTCCCGCGAGGACGACCGCGCAGCCGTGGGATCGGGGTCTGATCCCCCTCCCCCCCCCTCCTCCTCCTCCTCCACCTCCTCCTCCCGTGGGCCTGGCACCTGGTTTCATGGTGGCCAGTGCTTCACTCGCCGCGGGGCACGCTGTCAGGAGTTTGCGAGCGTGGGCCTGGCGGAGGAAGGCGGTCGTCATTTTCGGCGGACAGGGATGAGTTTGGCTCCCCTGCATCCGTGTGCAGTGGGTCCGAACCATGGCCCACTGCAGCGGCATCAGCTGCATGAAAGGGTCGCGCATTTCCGCGGAGTGGCGGAGCCATGTGGCTCGTGAGACCCATGGAACCTTCGGGTCTACTCTGGGGCGACGTTCCCTCAGGCGAGGCAGGGCCCCTGGGGGGCTCCCGTTTGCGCGTGCCCGTCGGTTGGCACCCCATATTGTCCCGGCCGCTCATGCGCATGAGCAAACGGGTTAAAACCTCTGGCAGGTGAACAAGGCCAGTGCAGCCCCCCACGGAGTCGGGTGAACAATGGGCTTGCGGGGTTTCCGCCGGCGGGGCAGCGAGTCGCTTGGAGACAAGCCCCTACCTGGTGGTGCCAGAAGTCCATGCGTCGAGCGGGGCTTGTCGTGCTTACAGCGGCATGACTTCTGCGCGCTTCAGCTCCTTCAGCTCTCCTCCTCCTCCTCCTCCTCCTCCTCCTCCTGCTCCCCCTCCCCTCCCCCTCCCCCTCCCCCTCCTCCTCCTCCTCCTCCTCCTCCTCCTCCTCCTCCTCCTCCTCCTCCTCCTCCTCCTCCCCAGGACGACCGCCTTGAGACACCTTGAGGCGGGTCGGCATCCCCTCGGACGGGGATCCCCTACAGCGCGGGTTCCGCAGCGCTTAGCGCTGCTTTGTCCTCGAGGCGCCCTGGTTTTTATAGCCGCGGCGACCCTCTCGAGCCTCGGGTCCTCCTCCTCCTCCTCCTCCTCCTCCTCCTTCTCCTCCTTCTCTTCCTCTTGTTCCTCCTCCCACCCTTCACCTCTCCCCCGCATGCACACGCCGTTTGTCAATCGGCATGCTGAATGGGGTTATGTTTATCCGAATGACTTGTGGATGCATGGCCGAATCGGGAAGGCTTGGCAAACTTGCCGAGGAATGCCGAGGTGGTCCACATAGTACCCATATTCAGGCAACCTCCTTTGGCGAGTCCGAAAGATAATGCGTCTCTCCGGGGCCAGGGAACACGCACGATAAGGTCATGACGAGCTCGTCTCAGTCTCACGCTTGTTGTCCTGGTCCTTGGCTGGATTGCACTGCAGATGTGTCTTATCATATGCTCCTCATCCTCCTCCCGGCGGCGAGCCCAAGGGGGAAGTGATATGGGGCGGGCCTTCTCAGAAGGCTCGGGAGTCCCCTGGCCTTCCGAGGAGTTGTCTGAGCCTTCCCCTCGGAGACGCCAGAGACTTTTCAGGCGGCCGGAGAGGGCCTCCGAGAAGCCCCGCCGCCTTCCGAGAAGGCCTGTCCCTTCACAGATTCCCCCACCCCCCTCGCTCGCCGCTGATCTGCTCGCTCCCCTCCCCCCCCCCCTCCCCACAAGCCTTATGTCGGGCTTGTCCCCCTACAGGGGGATTTTCGACGAAAAATAAGATACACAAAAAATACACCAAAAAGGCCAAAACATATTCCAAGAATAGTCCCCAGACTATTTTTGGAGTACTTTTTGACTATTTTTGGGGTATTTTTTATTTTTCGTCGCAAATCCACCCGTAGGGGGACAGGCCCGATTCCCCACAAGCCCTCGATGCCCCGCCCCTCCGCGGCACGAAGGCGCCTCGCGCGCCTCGCGCCTCGCGGCCAGATGCGGCCGCAGCTCTCCGGGTGTGGGCGGCGCGGGGGCGCGCCGAGGGGCACGCGCGCCGCGCCCCTCGGGGCCGGGCTTCTCGTGGGAGGTTTCTTGTGGTCGAGCCCTTGCTGTATTTCATCGGGACGCCCGACACGGGTACGGAAAGAATGGGTACAGAGACCGACAGCAGTTCTTGCTCATTTTGGAGAGGACTCGCTGTCCGCGCCGCCGCGGCCTGTGTTCGTTTGAGACAGAAGGTCGCCTGCCCAACAGCGGCCTCTGTTGGTTTGGGGCAACATTTGCTGTTGGGCATTGTGCCCATTCTTTCGGTGCCCTTTTCGGGCGTCCAAATTTCAGAAGGGGGAAAACACACAGACACAATTCATCGTCGATCTCCCGGAGAATATGCGAAAATATGGGAAGCGGGGGGGGAGGACAGAAGCCCAGAAAGCATGGGAAGATATGAAGAATCCCTTTATTTGTGCGCATTTGTTTGTGTGTCCCAGGGCCCCTTCAGTATTCGAGGATCCGTGGCCTCGGTCCAGAGCAGACTTTTCAGGCATTGGCGGGGGGCGAAGCGCGCCCCTCGGAGACCTATCCCAATGACCTGGAGTGGGGGGCGTCTTCTGGGGAGCCCTGCGTGGGGTGGGTTCGTAGCCTCGGGGGTGCGGGTGTGACGTAGCCTGAGTGCGAAAGCATTTCACTTTGCATCGGATCGTGGTTCAGGGGCGCGAATTCATTGCAATCTCCAGCGCGTTATCTAGGGTGTTAACAACAAGTTCTAATTTTATGAACTGAGACTTACGATCCATGCGGTATTACATGTCATGGGGATCAATCGTTGGATAGAAATGTGGCTTTGGTTTCCTATATTTAGATTTTGAAAGGAATCCTAAGCAGTGAGAGAGGATTCTGGCCATCCAGGGCCAGGGAGGAACATGGAACCATAAAGGAATCTAGATATGATATCCTAGAGTTAGAAAAGGCTTCCTGCCATCGGGGAACCGGGATATTCTAGACTTATTAGAGTGGGTTCTGGCCATATGGGTCCAGGAAGGGAAATGGAGTTAGAGAGGAATTTAGATAGGAAGTCCTCGAGGTAGAGAGGATTCTGGCCATTTGGGGCCAGGAAGGAAAATGGAGTTTGAGTGGAATTAGGGTAGGACATCCCAGATGTTGAATGGATTCTGGCCAACTGGGGCCAGGGAGGAAGTTAGAGTTAGAGAGAAGTTTTAATAGGGAATCGTCGATGATCCTGGCCCCGGATGGCCAGAATCCTGTAAATTCCTCCATGCTCCTTCTTGGCTCCAGATGGCCAGGATCCTCTCTAACCCTAGGATTTCTGAATTAAATCCCTCTCTAACTCAATTTACCTTCCTGGCCACGGATGACCCTCTTGAACTATAGGATTTCTTTTTGAGATTCCTCCAACTCCATTGTCCTTCCTGGCGCCGGATGGCCAGAATCCTCTCTAACTCTAGGATTTCCGATCTAAATTCCTCTCTAATTCGATTTTCCGCCCTGGCCCTGGATGGCCAGAATCCTTTCTAACTCTTGGACTTCCTATCTAAATTCCTCTCTAACTCCATTTTCCTCCCGGGCCTCGGATGACCAGAATCCTTGCTAACTCTAGGATTTCCTTTCTACATTCCTCCATTTTCCTCCCTGGCCCCTGATGGCCAGAAGCCTGTCTAACTCTAGGATTCCCGATCTCTCTAATTCCATTTGCCTCCCTGGCCCCCGATGGCCAGAAGCCTCTCTAACTCTAGGATTTCCTATCTAAATCCTTCTCTAACCCAGTTTCCCTTCCTGTTCCCCGATGGCAAGAAGCCTTTCTCACTCTAGGATATCCGACCAGATTCCTCTCCATTTCCATTTTCCGCCCTGGCCCTGGATGGCCAGAATCCTCTCTCACTGCTTAGGATTTCCGATCTAATTTCCTCTCTAACTCTATTTTTCTCCCTGGCCCCGGATGGCCAGAATCCTCTCTAAATCTAGGACTTCCTATCTTAATTCCTGTCTAATTCGATTTTCCTCCCTGACCTCAGACGGCCAGAGTCCTTTCTGCCTCCTAGGATTTCCGTTCTAAATTCCAACCTAACTCCATTTTTCTTCCTGGCCCCGGATGGCCAGAATCCTGTCAAACTCACTCGGATTTCCGACCTAAATTCCTCTCTAACTCCAGTTTTTTCTTTTGCCCTGGATGGCCAGAAGCCTGTCTAATTCACTCGGATTTCCGATTTACATTCCTCTCTAACTCCATTTTCCTCTTTGTCCCCAGATGGGCAGAATCCTTGCTAATTCAAGGATTTCCGGTTCAAATTCCGCTCAAATTCCATTTTCTTATTTGGCCCCAGATGGCCAGAATCCTCTCTATTCTCTCGGATTTCCATTCTAAATTCCTCTCTAACTCCATTTTCCTCCCTGGCCCCAGATGGCCAGAATCCTCTCTATCTCCAGGATCTTCTGTTTAAATTCCCCTCTAACTCCGTTTCCTCCCTGGCCCCAGATGATCCCCTCTAACTCTAGGAATCCGATCGAAACTCCTCTCTAATTCAATTTTCCTCCCTGGCCCCAGATGATCCTCTGTAACTCTAGAATTTCTGATCCAGATTCCTCTCTAACTCTATATTCATTCCTCCCTGGCCTCGGATGGCCAGAATCCTGCCTAACTTTCCGATCTACATTTCTCTCTGACTCCATTTGCCTCCCTGGCCCCGGATGGCCAGAATCCTCTCTATCTCTAGGATTTCCAATCTAAATTCTTCTCTAATTACATTTTCCTCCCTGGCCCCAGATGGCCAGACGCCTCTTTAATTCTAGGACTTTCGATCTAAATTCCTCTCTAACTCAATTTTCCTCCGTGGCCCCCGTGATGGACAGAACCCTGTCTAACTCACTCTGATTACCTACCTAAATTCCTGTCTAACTCCATTTTCCTCCCTGGCCCCAGATGGACATACTGCGATTCTAATTCTCGGACTGCCGAACGATATTCCGCTCTAACTCGATTTTCCTCCCTTTCCCCGGATGGCCAGAATCCTTCCTATCTCTCGAATTTCCGATCTAAATACCTCTCTAACCCAATATTTCTCCCTGACCCAGGATGGAATCCTTCCTGACTCTAGGATTTCATATCTAAATTCCTCTCTACTTCCAGTTTTCTTGGCTAGAATCCTCTCTATCTCTAGGCTTCCTGTCTAAATTCTTCTCTAACTCCATTTTCCTATTCTAACTCTAGGATTTCCGATCTAAGTTCCTCTCTAACTCCGTTTTCCTCCCTGGCCCCAGATGGCCAGAATGCTTTTTGACTTTCCGATCTACATGTCTCTATGACTCCATTTGCCTCCCTGGCCCCGGATGGCCAGAATCCTCTCTATCTCTAGGATTTCCAATATGAATTCTTCTCTAACTCCATTTTCCTCCCTGGCCCCGCATGGCCAGAAACCTCCCTGACTCTCTAGGATTTCCGATCTGAATTCCTCTCTGACTCCATTTTCCTCCGTGGCCCCAGATGGCCGGAATCCTTTCTATTTACAGGATTTCCGACCTACATTCCTCTCTGACTCCATGTTCCCCCGTGGCCCGGGATTGCCAGAATTCCTTCTACTTCTAGGATTTCCGATCTGAATTCCTCTCTGACTCCATTTTCTTCTCTGGCCCCAGATGGCCAGAGTCTTGTCTATGTAACTCTAGGACTTCTCAATCTAAATTCTTCTCTAACTCCATTTTCCTCCCTGGCCCGGATGGCCAGAGTCCTTGCTAACTCTAGGAATACGATCTAGATTCCTTGCTACCTCCATTTCCCTCCCAGGCCCCAGAGTGCCAGAATCCTCTCTACCTCTTGGACTTCTGATCTCAATCTCTCTCTAACTCCACGTGTCTCCCTGGTCCGGCGCGCCCCCGGCACCTACAATTCAACATCCTCTCTGACTCTAGAAATTCACATTCACATTCCTCTCCAGCTCAGTTGTTCTCCCTGGCCCGGGCGCGCCCCTGGCATTTCTACTTCGAATCCACCTAAGATTAAATGCCCCTCTAACTTTCTTTTTAAATAAAAAGCAAACAATGCCTCCCTAACTCGAAGAAATTTATCTGCAAGTTGCTTTCCAACTCAGTTTTTCTGCCTGGCCCGGCCCGTGAACGTAAAGAATTTACGGGTGGGGCGTTCATTTACGGTATCTCTTATTTTGCAAAATTGGATTTCAATCGGGGGTGTGTTAACATCCCAGGTTATGGCTTCGGGAGCGCGACTCAGTAGTAATTTACAGAGGTTGCGGCCTGGGGGGGCGCGATTGTGTCGTCACCGTAACCTGCAACCAAATGCAGCCCCGAAGTTGCGCACGCGTTGTGCACTACGAGGAATTATGGCCTCGGGGGCGCAAGCGCATTATAATTTGCAAGGGGTTCTGCTGCCGAGGACGCGAATGAGTCTTAATTTTATGTGTCCCGGGGCATCCCGTAGCTGAGGGAAACCAGTTCCGAGGCGGTAGTGGGGTGCTTTTCGGGCAGGAGGGGTCGCGCGTGCAGCAACCGTCAACTTTGGAACGAGGGACCTACAACTACACCGTCTACACCTCCGCAGTGGAACTGTTGCAGTGTGAAGGAACCAAAGCTTCGCAGCCTGGTGCTCCCAAGAGGGCCGACGGTTCCTCTTCCTTTCGCCTTTTCCCTGCCATTTGTCGTTTTTGTTCCATATCGTCGTCATCATCACCACCACCACCACCCGCCACCACTCGCCACCACCACCACCACCACCACCACCACCATCATCATCATCATCATCATCATCATCATCATCATCATCATCATCATCATCATCATCATCATCATCATCATCATCATCATCATCATCATCATCATCATCATCATCATCATCATCATCATCGTCATCGTCATCGTCATCGTCATCGTCATCATCATCATCATCACCATCATCGCGTGGGAAGTGGCTCGACTAGCTCGAGGCGGGGGCAGCTTGTGACTACCCGCAGCGCCCCCAGCGGCCCCCAAGGAGCTCGCGCGCCGCGAGCTCGCGCAACACTACGTGGAGCTGCAGCGCGAAGAGGCGGCGATCATTGAGGCGCAGCAGCAGCGGAGGCCTCCCGCAGACGGGAGCCTTGATGGGGGTCAGTGCACACGGGGGTCAGCCAGAGCGCCAGATGATGCGGGATCCTGCAAAGCCAGGGGCGCATTGACCCGGGTCAAGGCGCAGGATCTTGCAGGATCTTGCAGGATCCTGCGAAGCCTGATTGACCTGGGTCTGGATTGACCCGGGTCAGTAGATCCCCGAGGAAGCCAAGACGACCCGGTGCCACCGAGATTGGCTCCCAGTTGTGGCTGCCTTGGCAGCTCGCTGGCGTAGAGCGGCAGGAGAGCGCTACCTCCGCGCCGGACTGCGCGGGGGAGGTGGCATGGAATCGCCGCTTTGGCTCGGTCTTTCTTGCTCTCATGCCGCTTCCTGCTCGTGCTCTCGACTACACGTAATAGTGACCCTTCGCCGGAGTGACCTTTGCTGCGGGCTCTCGGGGTCCCCCCGATCGCTGAGCGCGATGCGATAGCGGCTGCTCGCGCGCTTGGATGTGGCCCCCGTGCGCCCCCGTTAGTCCGCGCACCAAGGGTCACTCTTGCCCAGGGCCACTCTTGCGTGTAGCGGATTCTCGACCTCGCTTCCCGATCGTCCTGTCCAGCGTGCGACGTTCCAGCTTCGATCGTGGTAGTGCCAATCCGCGCGGCACTCCTACGTTGTCGAGTGCGATCGGCCGACGCTGTGTGTGTGTGTTTGTTTGTTTGTTTGTTTGTTTGTTTGTTTGTTTGTTTGTTTGTTTGTTTATGTGTGTGTGTGTGTGTTTGTGTGTGTGTGTGTGTGTGTTTGTGTGTGTGTGTGTGTGTGTTTGTGTGTTTGTGTGTGTGTGTTTGTGTGTGTGTGTGTGTGTGTGTGTGTGTGTGTGTCTGTCTCTGTGTGTGTGTGTGTGTGTCTGTGTCTCGTAGGCTCTCCACTGGCAGACGTTCGGTGGTAATTGATATCTAGGCGGGTCTGGCCCAAGAGCTCGGTGCGTTTTGGATCACACGGGCCCGCGAAGTTCAAGAGCGTGTCCAGTTCTGTTCGGGCCTCAGGGCCGAACAATTGTGCACCAGACCGCGCTGGGGCGAGGCCTTGGGCGCCGTTCTCGTGCCCCGGGCCCTGCACCCCACCCCAGCCCAACCCGAAGGCCCCGACTGATCCTCCAGTCCTGGGGGGGGGGGAGGGCGCCGGGGGAACCTCTGGGAAAGCACGAGTGGCACCCGCACCTCCCCCCGCCCCGAAAGGTTGGCCTTCGGGTTGGGCTGCGGGGCCCGTGCGGGGGGCTCCATCGAGCCCCCCGCAGGCTCCATCGAGCCCCTTGCCCGATGCCTGGGCCCCTCTCCTCGTGCCGCTCCTCTGGCCGTGCCTCCGCCCTCGGCCGTGCCCGCGAGGCGTCGGGGGGCCTCCGTGGCCCTGCGCCCCTGCGGGGGGCTCCATCGAGCCCCCCCATCGAGCCCCCCCGAGGGGGCGCCCCGGAGCCTTGGGCCTGCCGTGGTGCGGCCCTCCGCGGGGCCGCCTGCAGCAAGCAGCCGCGCCCCCGGCGGGCCGCGCCCCGTGGCGCAGGGCGCCGCGCCGCCGCCGAGGGGGGGCCGCTCCGAGCCGCCGCCAGGAGGCGGGGCGCTCCGCGGTCTGGGGCGGTGCGAGAGCGCGAGGAGGTCGGGGGCGACCGGCCCAGGCCCCCTCGCGTCGTGGAGAGGCCGTGGCGGGGAAGGCTTTCGCGGTTTTTTCTGCCCCCTGGGGGCCCTGGCCAGGCTCCCTCCCTCCCTCCCTCCTCCTCTTCCTCCTACTCCCTCCCTCCCTCCCTCCCTCCCTCCGGCCCTTCCTCCTCCCCCTCCCCCTCCTCCTCGTCCTCCTCCTCCTCCTCCTCCTCCTTCTCCTGCCTCTTCCTCCTCCTCCGCCTCCTCATCCTGCTCCTCCTCCTTCTCCTCCTACTCCGCCTCCGCCTCCGCCTCCGCCTCCGCCTCCGCCTCCGCCTCCGCCTCCTCCTCCTCCTCCTCCTCCTCCTCCTCCTCCTCCTCCTCCTCCTCCTCCTCCTCCCCCCGGGGCCGCCGAAGAACAACTCGGGAGGAGAAGCCGGGCCCGGGGAATGGGCCCCAGACCTTTGGGGGTCGACGCTGCGAAAGGAAACGCGACGTCGGGTGTCTGCGAAGAGGGGGGTGATGACCAGGGGGGGGGTGCGGATGCCATGGCCGCGGCCATGACGCGTCCCCCTCCTCTTGCTTCCATGCGCCCCTCGGCCTCCTCCTCTCCGGGGGTCGAGCACGCGCTGCGCGGCGCGCTGCTCGAGCCCCCCTCACGGACGCCCCCCCCCCCCCCTTTCCTCCCTTCCTCCCTCCTCCCCTCCTCCCTCCTCCCTCCTCCTCCCCTCCCCCTCCTCCTCCTCCTCCCCTCCCTCCTCCCCCCCCCCCTGCCCCTGGACGCCCCCCGATGAGAGGGGGGGGCGCGCTTCGGGGCGCGCTCCGCGCGGTGCGGGGCGCGCGGCCGGGCGGGGCAGAGCGTGTGCCCCCCCCCCCTGCGGGTGCGGGCGCCTCTTTGGGAGGGGGCCACGCGCACGGGGCCCGAGGAAGCGGCCCCCTCCGGGGCGGAGAGGTGCCGATGCCGCTGCCTCGACCTCGTGCCCCCCTTCTTTCGGGGGAGCGTAAGACCCGGGTTTGCCAGGACTCGGGTTCGCCATCGTTTTTTGACGACCGCGCCTCGGATTTTGACGAGGAGGAGTTTCGTGGGATGTCTGCAGCGGGAGACCTCGTCAAAATGCAGGATCGGCCTCGTCATTTTTTTGACGAGCTCGTCGGGGATTTCCGAGTCCCCTGTACCCAGGTCTTACGCCCCCCTTCTTGGGCCTCCTGGGAGGCCCACGTCGCCACCGCCTGATTCGCCTCGAGATTCTCGTCAGACGGCACCCCGGCAGAGGTCCGGGGAGTAGCGGTATCGGCAATTACCTGTTGGTTTTCCCCGGAACATGGAGGGAGGTGCGGGCATGAGCCACGGGGCCCGCTGCTGTGCGAGCTCGCCGTGCTCCGTGGCCAGATCAGGCGGCATTGGCGCCATGTTTCCGGGGTGCCTGCTCCGATCCATGCCAGCCTGTGGCTGTATCATGGGAAATCGTGGAGCACCTGCCCCGAGGAGGAACTGGTACTCATGCCCCTACCCTTCGGCCGTTTTCCCCTTTGTGGGCCTCCTGGGAAGCCCTCGTCGCCACCGCTGGATTCGCCTCGAAACTCTGGTCAGAACGCACCCCAGGCGAGGTCCAGGGGGTAGCGGTATCGGTACCTTTCGGTTTCCCCAGCTGCCCCTCTTTTCCCCTCCCTCGCCGACGGGGGCTTGGGACCCGATTGGTCTGGGGGGCCATATGTGTGGCCCGCCCTGGTCTTTCGCCGAATGTGTCCATAGCCTGCCCCGCACGAGGCACGTCGGGAGCTTTTGGAAGTGGTCCCCTCGCGGATGTCGTAGTAGAGCAGGTCGGCCGAGGTTTCCATGGACATGCAAGCTTGAGGTTTTTGGACGGGCGATTGGGATACGTTGGCGCTCTCGGCCACCAAATGGTTTCCAGCCGCGCTCCGGCATATTTGCAACCTTTTGGCCGCAGATGAATGCGCCATCACCCCTGACATCGTATAGCGCAAGGGGCGTGGCGCCGCACACGCGCACCACGGCTGTCAAGCAGGCGCACGTGCTCTTCGCGCCAGGTTTGCGCGGCTCGCCCTGACTTGCGGCACACGCCCCCCGCCGACCCGGGTCGGCGCTGACACGGGGCCGGGGTCTGGGCGGGTCAGCGCTGAATGACGGGCTGGGGCCACGTGTGTTCCGCGCCCTTGGAGAGTGATCGCGCCCCCCCCCCCCCCCCTGGGTCGAGGGGGGGGATGGACGCTCGCTGTCGGAAGAGGGTTGGAGAGGACGGATTGGCATTGAGGCTTTTTTGGGGGGGCGGGGACCAGGGAGCTCCGTCGCAGGATGAGTCACCCCATCCCCGCTTGTGACCCCTATCTACCAGCCTGGAACATATCCCTATCCCTATGCTGGGCACCTCCTCATCACGATGCCAATCTTCGGGATTCCCTTACTTTTGAGGGCGACTCCCTGAGATTGTCATCGCCTTTTGGCGTGTCAATCTTAGGGACAGGGATACGTCCGAGGCTGGTAACCTGTCCAGTGCATGGCCAATTCGCCTTTCGCTTGCCCCGAGAGGCCACACGCTGGAGTGGACTGCCCCTGCCTCGCCGCCGGCGAAAGAGTGTACGACCCGCCTCGGCCCCATCCCCCTCCCCGAGATTGACAAGCTCACGGCGGTTGCAATCTCGGTGATGTGGCCTCGGCAAGCTGGGGGACTCCTTGAGAGCGGCGCCGAGATGAGGTGGTGCGAACCTCAGGGACACGCATCTGTTTCAGGCTGCTAAGTGTACTCCTGGATGGGGCAATCGTCCTCCCCCTTGGATCCGCAGGAGGCATTGGGCACGTGCTGTCAGAGCGGGTGGATGGGGGCTTGGAGGAGGAGTAGGAGGAGGAGGAGGAGGAGGAGGAGGAGGAGGAGGAGGAGGAGGAGGAGAGAAGGAGAAGGAGGAGGAGGAGGAGGAGGAGGAGGATGAGGAGGAGGAGAGGAGGAGGAGGAGGAGGAGGAGGAGGAGGACCTTTTTTGGTATATTCCCCTTCCAAAGTAGGGATAGGGACGACGACGACGACGCATACGAGTGCCTCGCGAAGCGCGCCTGCCCCCCTGCGCTCCTCGGACAGGCGGGAGCACCACGCCGAGGCCGGGCAGCGCGGCACGCCCGGCGCGCCGGCTCCTCGGCCGCCCCCCCCCCCCCCCACCTGGAGGCCTCCCAGATGAGCGACAAAACATTCAAGCAAACACTCAAGCAACAATCCAAGCAAACAATTCAAGCAACAATCCAAGCAAACATTCAAGCAAACACTCAAGCAAAAAATCAAGCAACAATTCAAGCAAACATTCAAGCAACAATGCAAGCACACCATTCAAGCACAACTTCAGGCAACAATTCGAGCAAACATTCAAGCAACAAATTCAAGCTGGAGTGTCTTCGCCAAAATTCAAGTAGCGAAGCGCCCTGGCTCGCCTGTAGGCCTACCAAGCAATGTCGTAAGAACCTTTCTGTGGTTTCCACGAAGTTATCTTGGAACATTTCTGGCTGGGACTGTCTTGTTTTATCACATCGGGTTTATGTTCTAAGAACATTCATTGGTTTGGCTCTTAGAACATTTTTGGGTTCAAACAAAATTTCGAGGTAGGACTATAGGAATGCTGGGACACTCGGTCTCTGCTCAAAACACATTGGCGCGCAAGCTGCCCATGTAAGGTCACGAGTACAGTCGAGCCGGATTAGTAGGTCGACCCTTCCAAATCAAGTGTACCCTTGTGTTCTGTGCCTCGCGACCCATGCTCCTACATTCATATGGCAATGTGGCCCTCGGAAGAGTCTCGTGTCCTCTCGCGTGTCCTCTTCAATCCACCCGGACTGTAAGCACCCACCTCTTCCAATGTAGCGTGCCGCGCTGGCGGCCCGCGTAAGCCACCGCGCAAGGTCGCTGTGCCATCTCGCGTAAGACCCGTTTCTTTTCGTCGCTCAGATGGGGTCGGAGTAACCGGGGTCGGAGGATCGCGCCGCACCGCGGATGCATCGTCGATGCGGCTCGATGTGGAGCCCGATTTTCTCCACGCCGACGTCGCGATCCTCCGACCCCATCTACCTGGGCCCCCAAACCCAGACCCCCTCGAGTCGTGAAAAATTCATGCCGCGAGGTTTTTCGCTATTTTCAGCCTCTGGGGGCCCTTACTAGGCCCCGGGGCCGCCAAACCGTGCGGTGACGAGCCGCATGGTGAGGTTGTTTGGGATTTCGAGGTCACCACACGATCAGTCACCAAACGTTTTTTGGGCCCCGAACGGGTTCATGGGCAACGTTGGGAGTTCGCGGTAGCCTGTCCCATTCGTAAGCGACTTCTCTGATTCCTGCCGATTCGGCTACTATGGACTATGGAGCAAGAATTGGAAGCGAAAGCAACATCGCAACGCTCAAGGAATTCAAGCAAATACGGGTAGGATCGCGGGCACTTTGGGGGGGGGATGGGCACAGGCTCCGTAGTTTTCCAGGTTCGAGGCTCGAGGTCCGAGGTCTTGGGATGTCCTCGTCGGTTCTCGGCTCTCCAGCCTCGGGGTGCTGTCGAGCAGCGGCGCCTCGCAGGGGCACATTTCCGGGGGCGCCCGGATCGTCCTGAACGGCCGCCAGAATGCCAGGAGGCAACGTGAGGTCATGCATTGACCCCCAATCGCCCAGTCATCGCCGATTCGGGCCGGATAGCCCACCAAGCCCATGAAGGAGCGGCCTCGCAATTTGGGGCCGATCCCCGATCCATCGACGATGCATCGCCGATTCTAGGTCGATGTTTCCCCCCCTCAGCTGGTCCCCCCCCTCCACGTTCCCCCTCGGCGGCGGCAGCGACGACGACGGCGACGATGGCGACGATGGCGCCGCCGCCGCCGACGACGACGACGAAGACGACTAAGACGACAGAGACGACGACGACGACGACGACGACGACGACGACGACGACGACGACGACGACGACGACGACGACGACGACGACGACGACGACGACGACGACGACGACGACGACGACGACGACGACGACGACGACGACGACGACGACGACGACGACGACGACGACGACGACGACGACGACGACGACGACGACGACGACGACGACGACGACGACGACGACGACGACGACGACGACGACGACGACGACGACGACGACGACGACGACGACGACGACGACGACGACGACGACGACGACGACGACGACGACGACGACGACGACGACGACGACGACGACGACGACGACGACGACGACGACGACGACGACGACGACGACGACGACTGAGACGACGGAGACGACGGAGACCAGGGTGTGCGTGCTCCCTGAGGTTATGTCGGGCCTGTCCCCCCTACAGGGCGATTTTCGACGAAAAATGCAAAATACCCCAAAAATGCTCCAAAGGTAAAAGAATACTCAAAAAATAGTCCCCAGACTATTTTTTGATTATTCTTGATTATTTTTGGGGTATTTCTTATTTTTCGTCGAAAGTCCCCCTGTAGGGGGACAGGCCCGACTTAACCCTGAGGCAGGGGTGCAGGGGACGGGCCTGGTGGGTGGGGGATGCATCGATGCCTGGGGCGTCTGGCGGCGCTTCCCAGGGGCGCGGACCGCGCCCTTCGCTCCAGCGGCCGCTGTCCAGGGCACGGCTCGCAGCTGCCCCGGGGAGGGAGCGGCGGGGAGGTCAGGGGAGACGTTGGGCTTGCAACGTGCGTTCAGTCGGACCTCCTCTTCCTCTCCTCCTCCTCCTGCTCCTCCTGCCCCTCATCCTCCCCCTGCTCTTCCTCCTCCTGCTCCTGCTCCTCCTCTTCCTCCTCCTTCTCCTGCTCCTCCTGCCCCTCATCCTCCCCCTGCTCTTCGTCCTCCTGCTCCTCCGGCTCCTCCTGCTGCTCCTCGTCCTCCTCCTCCTCCTGATCCCCCTGCTTTCTCTTCCCCCCCGAGGGTTGCCGTGCGGCACAGTCGGACCGAGGTATCAAATCGAGGCTGGTTCGTGGAGGGTATCTTACTGTTCTCCGTGTTTGTTAGATGTTCTTGTGAGTCCTGGGGAGGGTACCCTTGGATATTCTGTGTGTTCTGGCCGGCGGAGGTTCTCATGTTCTTGAAGGGTGTTCGTCTGTCCTAGATTCGATTGTGCGGTAGGTTCGCGTCGTGTCGACTGGCGGCGACCCCGCTGCCAGCGTTCAACGTCGAACGCCGCTGGCGACTCAGAATCGGTCTATGCTGGACGGTCTGACGCTTCGGAACCGGCCGATCGTTCAAGGTTGAACGGTCCCCGCGGGGTCAGAAACCAAAGGCGAAGTCGGCACGAAATTGCCGAAGGGATGGAGGGCGGGGCCTCTTGAGAGCGGGGCTCCCATCTGAGACGTCCTTGACCTTAAGGGCCAGACACCCGAACCTCACGCAACGGCTGTGGAGATGGAGGGTGCCTGCTTATCAACACGGGGCTCTCACTCCAGGCGTTCTCGAAGTTCCTGACCAGATCTGTGCAGAAGTTACACGGGTGAGGACGGTCCTTCCAAACCACGGGGACCTCGCTGGACACTTCATTGAACTTTACGTTAATCTCCTTTCGCATGTTTGGTTCTTTGCCAGAGGGATGCAGCGCAGTTCCAATTCAAAACGGGGCTCTTGCCTGCATGGCGGGCATGTCGTGTGCTGGTCTTCGAGGGGACGCTTCGTGTGCTGAGGAGGGCGGCTCGCAGGGACTCATCAGGCGGGGGCCCGAGGCGGGACGGTGTACTGCGGCAGGCGTCGTTGATGCAGCTTGGATTTCCTTGTTTTGTCTGCCATCTCATCCCCCTCCCCTCGTCCTCCCCCTCTCCCCTCTCTCCCTGCCTCCTCCCTCCTCCTGCTCCCCCACTCCCTCCTCTCGCTCCTCCCCCCACCTCCTCCCTCCCTTGCTCCTCCTCCTCCCGCTCCACCCAGTTTCCTCACCCTCTCCTCCGCCTCCTTCTCTCACTACCGCTCCTCCCTCACTCTCTCCCGCCTCCTCCTCCTCGTCGTACTCTCTTTCCCGCCTCTTCCTTCTCCTCCCCGTCCTTTCCTTTTCCCGCCTCTTCCTCCTCCTTCCGCCTGCCCCCCTTCTCCTGTTGGGAGGGTCGAGTCTGTTGGGACGGCATTGCGTTTCCACAAGTTTTCCGAACTGCCCAGACAGGGGAGGCAGAGATGCGGGGGAAGTGTTTTTTGTGGGGAGGGGGGGGGCAGGGGAGGGGAGGGGTGAGGAGGAACACGAGCATGAGAAGGACAAGGGTGGCGAGGCGATGACGATAAGGGCAACGATCGTAGTGATGGTGATGATGGTGGTGGTGGTGGTGATGTTGATGGTGGTGGTGATAGTAGTGGTGTTGTCGGCCATGGTGTCGACGACGATGCTGATAATGATGTTGATGGTGATGGTGATGGTAGTGGTGGTGGTGGAGATGATGATGACGATACTGATGGTGATGGAGATGCTGTAGACGATGATGCTGATGATGCTGATGCTGATGATTATTGTGGCTAGGATGACGAGGATGATGGTGCTGTTGCTGTTGATTATGTTGTTGATGATGGCGATGGTGATGATGCTGCTGCTGAGTTGGCTGATGATGCTGATGCGGATGACGATGCCGGCGGTGATGATGCTGATGATGCTGATGATGTTGATGACGATGATGTGCTGCTGCTGCCGATGCTGCTGCTGATGATGATGATGATGATGATGATGTTGGTGACGACGTCGATGATGAAGATGGGGCTGCCTAGGCTGATGATGCTGATGCTGATGACGACGATGACGATGGTGATGCTGTTGATGATGATGCTGGTACGGATGACGATGATGATGATGATGTTGATGATGATGATGATAATGATGCTGATGATGACGATGATGACGATGATGATGATGCTGACGATGATGATGTTGAGGTTGTTGTTGATGCTGTTGCTGCTGCTACTGCTGCTACTGATGATAATGATGCTGATGATGATGATGATGATGCTGATGATGATGATGATGATGATGAGGATGATGATGATAATGATGGGGATGCGGATGATGACGATGACGATGCCACTGATACTGATACTATCGATGCTGTTGCTGCTGCTGATGATGCTGCTGCTGATGATGATGATGACGATGATGAAGGTAACGAGGGTGATGCGGATGCGATGCTGATGATGATGAATATGCTCAATCTGATTATGATGATGTTGAGTATGATGACGATGATGATGCTGATGCTGATGCTGGTAATGACGATGCTGCTGCTGATGATTATGCTGATGCTGATGTTGTTGGTGGTGATGGTGGTGATGATGCTGGCACCTACGACGACGATGATGACGCTGCTGATGCTGAAGGTGCTGCTGATGCTGATGATGCTCAGGGTGGTGATGATGGTGTTGACGACAACGTCGACGTCGGCGACGACGACGGCGATAGTGATGATTACTGTTGTTGTTGTTGTTGTTGTTGTTGATGTTGATGTTGATGTTGTTGTTGATGATGATGATGCTGATGATGATGATGGCTGCTGCTGCTGATGCTGCTGCTGATGCTGCTGCTGCTGATGATGATGATGATGATGATGATGGTGATGGTGATGGTGATGGTGATGGTGATGGTGATGATGATGATGAGGAGGAGGAGGATGAGGATTAGGATGAGGATGAGGAGGAGAAGGAGGAGGATAAGGTGGATGAGGAGAAGGGAAGAGGCCGGCTGAGGCTGGACCCCCTGCGCAGCATGCCAGTGGGCCAGATCAGGGAATTGTACCTGAAGGCGCCAGGGAGCGATTGCTCGTTGACAGAAAAGCGCACCGGACTGATTCTTCAGGCTTGCGCCACATCCGCCGACCCAAATAGCTGTGTGCCTTCGTGAGGAGGCGCTACGGAGCGGTTGCGCGTCGACAGGAACAAGGCAGCGGACTGATTCTTCAGGGGGCAGGGCGCGGCCAGCACCGCTTGGGGCTTCCCCACACTCGGCGCGAGCGAGCAAGTGCAACACCTCATGGCGCACCCCCCCAAGGGGTGCCCAAGTGACTTGAGTGATATACCTGCTACTTCGCGATGGCCATGAGGCAACCAAGAGAGGAGTCGGTGACGCCACGCGAGCGAGCTGCGGGAGAGATCCACACCACCTGGGTGCGACTTCCTGGCGGCTCCTCCTTGAGGTGCCCATCTGCTATACTTGCTGCGACATCGCAGTGTTTGTGAGGATACATCCAGCTGTCTCCGGCAATTCCGCCACCCTGGCTCCGCAGTATTCTGGGTGGCACCTATTCGAGAAGGCAAGGGTGGCTGCCGGGGGCCTCTTGGGCAGACTGTTCGAATGCTTGGTTTGTGCTCCCATTCTTGTGCCCCTCTTGGGGCCGCCTTGAGGCCCTCTTGGGCCGACTTGGGCGCCTCTTGGGCCGTCTCTGAGCCCTGTTGGGTCGCCTTGGCGCTCTCTTGGGCTGTCTTGGAGCGTCAGAAGCTCGAAATGGCGAGGACCCCAAACACGTTGAGAACGCTGCGGAACATCCATGGTGTCTGCCTCTCGGCCCTCTTAGGGGCCCTCTTAGGGGCCCTCTTAGGGGCCCTCTTAGGGGCCCTCTTAGGCGGCCTCTCGGGGGCCTATCTGGGCCCTCTTGGGGCCTCCTCGGCCTTCTTGGGGCGGAAGGCTGGAATTCTCGGGTTTACCCTCTCGGGCCCTTCCTTCTTGGGGCCCGTCTTTGGCCCTCTTGGGCATTCTTGAGCGCCTTCTGGGCCGTCTTGAGGCCCTCGTAGGCCGTCTTGCGGTCCTCTTGGGAGCCTCCTGGGCCATCTTGGGACAGTTATGGTGACCTCTTGGGTCGACTTCGGGCGTCCGAAGCTCGAAACGGCGAGTGCCCGAAACACACTGAAATTGCCTCTCGAGGCCCTCTTCGGAAGGCTCTTGGGGCTCTCTTGGGACGCCTCGAGGGCCTCGTGGGCCGTCTTGAAGCCGTCTTGGGCCGTCTTGATGTCAAACTGGCCTCGTGGTCTCCCGACGTCCACTTGGAGCGGTCCGTGGCGTCCGTGACAGGCGCTCGACAGGGGCGCGGCAGCGCTGACTTTGACCCCCCCCGGTCGCAGGTGGTGCCTAGCGGGTCTGGGCGGTCTGTTCGGCTGGCTTGAGCGCCACCGCTCCCCGCTAGACGGACGACGAGCCATGTGGCGAGGGGGTCGGAGTCGTCGGAAATAAGTGGGTTGGTACAGCGAACAATAAGCACTGCTGCATCGCAGAGGTATGACGACGAGGTGGTGGATCGGGGCCATCGTACTAACATTTCGACGTGGTTTATCGAATATACAGTCCCGCGATGATCCATGGTGGTCGAATGATCGAACGTGGTCGTCGTGCTCGGACGTGACCGTCTTGATCAATCAGCGGCGCCTCGTTTTACACGGTTCGTCGCACCTGATCGAACCTTGCGACGAACACGTGCATTCAGTGTGTCAGTTTGTCCCACGCAGGCCCACAGCCAGCATACGTACCTCGAAATCCAAATCGTCACGATTTCATCATCTTGCTCAGTCCGACGCGATCGCGAAATTGTTTGGATCGCCAGCGTGTGTCAGACACCCAGATGCTCCAGTAATTGCGGCGCGCCAAAGCATGGACTACTGAGAAGAGGAGGATGATGATCATCATAAGCAGGAGGATGAGGAGAAGGGGGACGTGGGAGAGGAAATCGCAAGGAAGCGGATGAGATGGAGTGGATTCTGTGAGATGAGGGGGGGGGAGGTGGAGTTGTGGGTGGCGTAGAGTTGGTTATCTCTATTTGGAATTCCTCCTTCTGAGAAGGAAGAGCTGGAGAGGAGGTGTGGAGGATATGGACAGGAAACCATAGGCAGGAGCAGGGTTCGGATAACTGGCTGCTGTTGGTGCTGATTCTGCCTGAGGCTCGTGGGAAGGTGGAGGGACCCAGCATGAATCTGTTTTTGTGACAGCGTTCAGACCTCAGGGCCAGCTTGATGGCTTTGATGTTCTGCGGCCAGAGCTGGTCTTCTTCAAAGAGGACATCCCGCTGCCAAAGGCGGCTCCACTCCTGTTGCGGCTGCTGTTTTTTTGTGCGACAAGGTTGCATGTTACAGTTAAGACTCAGTAGTGAGGAGCAGTTCGGGTTCGGAAGGCGCTCGCTGTTCCTGGCTTCCTTCCATGGTTGTTCCTCGATCGCTCCTCTTGCACCCAGACTGGCTTTTGTTCTTAATAATTGCTTAGCGTTCCCTCGGGCGGCAGCCTGGCTGTACAGTTCAGCCAGGGCACTGGAGGATCCGCAATGGTAGATCAGGCAAGAGGCCCGCTGTCTGCACACCAGGGTTTGAGCTAATCAGTGTTTGGGCGATTTCGTGGACCGTTCTCGGTTTGGCTACGTTGCGCAGCAAAGGCAGAACGAAGACAGAACGATGAACACCGGAACAACACGGAAACGAGTCACATTGTTTGGCTCGAGCCCTGCTGCGCACGTGCAGGGGGTCGGCAGAGAACGACGGGAGGCGGAGGATGAGGAGGAGGGGGCCTCCTGCAGACTGGATCCGCTTCGTTCTGCCGTCGCCCAGCTGCCAGGACTTCTCCAGGGGGCCACTTGCGAACCCTACTCCCGCCCCCCACGATTTCTGAGGGGGAGGGGGGGGTTCCCTTGATTCGGGAGCTCCCGAGCGAAGTGAACCCCCACCCTCCCCCTCAGAAATCGTGGGGGGTGTGGGGGCAGGGTCCGCAAGTGGCCCCCCATTCTCCCTGAGGAAGGCACCAGTTATACACCAACACCGATCCTGGGCCCAGGATCACCCTGGGCCCGGGATCGGTGTATACGCCCTCCTGCCTGGGCAAGAAGGCGTCTACACCGATCCTGGGCCCAGGGTGATCCTGGCCAGGATCGGTGTTGGTGTATAGTTGGTACCCTCCGATCCCTGAGGTTGGCCCTCTCTCTCCGCTCCGAGGCGCCGTGCTCGGGCGGGGGGGGGGGGCGGGTGCCGCGAGCGCCGCGGGGCGCAGACCCGGCGGGCGGCGCCCGGCTCCCGTCGGAGGAGCCACCCCCCTGCCGGCAGAGGGGGTCGCGGCAGCGCGCTCCTCCTCCTCCTCCTCCTCCTCCTCCTCCTCCTCCTCCACCTCCTCCTCCTCCCCTCCTCCCCTCCTCCTCCTCCTCCTCCTCCTCCTCCTCCTCCTCCTCCTCCTCCTCCTCCTCCTCCTCCTCCTCCTCCTCCCTCCTCCTCCTCCTCCTCTCCTCCTCCTCCTCCTCCTCCTCCCTCCTCCTCCTCCAGCCAGAGGGGCTGCGCTCGGCGTCTCGCCCCCTCGCCGGCGCGCCGTGCCGAGCGGGCGCGCGCGGCCCACGGAGGGGCGCGGGGACGGAGAGACGTCGCTGCCCCTGCCCTGCCCCTGCCCTCGCCCCCTCACGCTGAGCGTGGGGCAGTCGTCCTCCTCCCCCTCGTCCTCGTCCTCGCCCTCCTCCTCCTCCTCCTCCTTCTCCTCCTCCTCCTCCTCCTCCTCCTCCTTCTTGTCCGCCGGCTGAGTTTGCGTGGGACCGGGGAAAGCTAGGTGTCGGAGCCAAGATCACAGGGGGTGTTCGGGTGATTGACAGTTCGGGTGGTACATATCTCAAGGATTGGTTGCTCAGGAGATGCGGGTGGGCCATAGTCCATCAAGGCTCCGACGAACAAGTTGATTGTGTATCCAGAGGAACGTTGCCAACCAAAGTCCAGAGTGTTCGTTAAATTGCACTTTCTGCATTGATTCAGTCAGTTGCCCGTTCAACTGGTGATGTGAGAGCCTGCTGTGACACTATGATTCGTGGAGGGTTCCGGGAGAGCCCTACGCAGCCAGACGGAATCCACGATGCTTGACCTCTTTGTGATGTTTCGTGGTGTGCTGAGGGCCCGTGGCTGCTCACTGGAGGATCGATGGGCAACAGGTCGCCCCCCCCCTTTGCCCAACGTGTTGACATGTGCTCGAGTAGTATAGCAGTTTGCTTACACACGGCTGCTGAGCTTCTCGCGTGGAGAGAGCTGTGGATGCTGGTCGGGTGTCAGACGACCAGGCCCGGACCTATTCCGAGGCCGCCGAGCGGGCTCTCGAGGTTGGTGCAGCGCCTCCTCTCGCTGTCCCGAGGGCGGAGCCTTCCACTTCCCGTCGCGAAGCCCGACCGTGTCCTGCACTCGTGCGAGAGGTGAACGCTGCAGTCAAGGAATTCGGCTCTGTGATTTGCGTGATACATACGTATCATGGTCTTTCTGTGTGCGTTTCTGTCTTGAGTGTAAGCTCTGTGCGAGGAGCTTCGGCAGGCGAGGCGTTCCGTCGCGGTACTGGCCGTCTCCCTGGAAGCTCCGTGATTTGTTGCAAAGACGATGTCCGACCCTCCAGTTTTGGGCACCCGACCCGATGATTTGGCAGGGGTTGGAGCGATGTATCATCCTGTAGCGGGGTTTTGTCATACAGTTCTCATGTTGGCAACTGGCAAATGTGTGTTGTTGTATGAGGTTTGTGGGTGCCATTGTATTGGTGCCATTGTATTGAATTGCCTAGTAAACTTAAGCGGCCTTGTAAAGATCCCAGTCGTGCTGGATAACATGTTTTGAGCCGCCTCAAGAGGGGCCTCCCGCCAAAGTCAGGAGGCAAGTTCCCCGAGGTTTGATATGTTCTTTCTTGCGTGCCCCACCCAGCAGCATATCACCACGTCCTCATTCTCCTCTGCTTCCATGGGGGCTGCTGTTGTGAGTCGTGCGCGCGGCACGCGTGGCACGTGTGGCATGCGTGCGCCCTTGCCCGAACCTGCCTTCAAGTCAGGGGCAAGGGCTTCAAGATCAACTCGGGGGTCTTTGATTGATTCCTCCCTCACTTCCTCTTCTCCGACTTGGCGACGAGCTAGAGAGCATAACATGACCCCAAACAATCCTCCTCCTCCTTCTCCTCCTCCTCCTCCTCCTCCTCCTCCTCCTCCTCCTCCTCCTCCTCCTCCTCCTCCTCCTCCCCCCTCAGATCGGACGTTGCCAAACTGATTCAACACCGCGAAAAATCATGACAGGAGCTCCAGATCCCATCTTTCTGCGTCATTTCTCGAGCAGGATCGACCTGTGAGGGTCCTGTGACCCGAAACCAGGCGCGAAAGCGCCTGGTGTGAAGAATTGCAATGCCAGGATTCGAGCAGGAGGTCGAATTGACCAACACCATAATCCATTTGTTCGCCGAGAATGCTCGTAGATCTACGGACACCCTGCGTTTTTGTTGTAGGTTCGGCGAGGATTTCAAGCTTGGGGCAGCTCGAGTCTGCAGTCGATCTCCTACTTCGAAGGATCTCGAGGCCCCCCCCCTGCCCCGAGAGCCGCCAGGCCCCCTCGATGGCCCCCGCGCCCCTCTCCCGAGGGCGCGCTTGGCCGGGGCCCTTCGCGCCCTTTCTCCCGGGAGCCGCCTCCCCCCCCCTGGGGCCACGGCCTCTCCTCCCCGGAGCCCCTCGCGCTGTGGAGCAACACCACGGCGGGAGGCTCTTCTCACGATGCGAGCGGCGCCACGAGCTGAGTTCACTGCCGCGGAGGAGCCTCCGAGAGCCCCTGGGACTCCTCGTGGCCGTGGGGGGCCCCGCAGAACCCCGAGTAACGTCGGCCTGAACCTTGCAACTGGGGAGGGTCGACCAAAAAAAAATCACGACGGGAGGTTCTTCTTCCCACTTCTGGCCTCGGGGGGGGGGGGCCCTCGCGGGGCTCGTGGGGCCTCCAAGAACCGGGTCGGGAGGAGACGCCCGCCGCGGGGCAGGGGTCCCTGGGGGGGGTCCGGGCCTCTTGGGGCCGACGCTGCGAGGGCACGAGTCCTGACGTCGGGGGTCTGGGGGGCCGCCGCCGGCGAGGGCGGCGGGGCGCCCCCCTACCCTTCCGTCGGGCCTGTCCTTCTCTACAGGAGGAATAGTCAAAACTAGTCCAAAACATAGTCTGGTGACGTTTTTTTTGTTTTTTTTGTTTTTTTTTTTTTTGTTTTGTAAAAAAAACTATTTTTGAGTATTTTTGAGCATTGTTTGGATATTATATATTTTTCGTCCAAAATCCCCCTGTAGGGGGACAGGCCCGACCTAACCCTACCCCCCCCCGCTGGCCCTGCTCTGTCAGATCCCCGTCTTTGCCCCAGTGGTGATTCGGCAGCAAAGCACGGGAGCCTCGCGTACCCTCGTAGTTCTGCCTGTAGCGTCGATCAGCGTCGGTGAGCGTCTGGGAGTGATAACGCCGATTTAGCGTCGGTTCGCGTCGATTAGCGTCGATTCAGCGTAGCGTCGATTTAGAGTCGACTAGCATCGATTCGCAAAGGCCGACAAGATGTTATGGGAGGCTCCCATGAGTTGCCACCAGATGATAACAGATTTGGGCGGTTCGGTTAGACACATCTGCGGAAAACAAGTAACCCCTACAGCGGAAACCCATGCCAAGAAACACCCTGCTTGCCTCCAGGGTGCCCTGGGCTCCTTGGTTGTGGGTTGTTTTGCTCTGGACGGCGTGGCGCTCCCACACCAAAAACCAATGGACGCCCTGGGGTCTCAGGGTTGGGTTTCTTGTGGAAGGTTTCTTGTGGTCGAGCTCCTACTCTATCCTTGCAAGCCTGGAACATATCCCTAGCACCTCCTCATCACGATGCCAATCTTAGGGATTCCCTTATTGTTTGAAGGCGAATCCCTAAGATTGTCATCGCCTTCTGGCGTGTCAATCTTAGGGATAGGGATACGTTCGAGGCTGGTAGTATCCTTAACGTTTTTGGCCCTCCCAACCTAGGCCACCTCTCAGAGGGTGAAGGGTCCTTCTCTTGCGACTCCTCTCCTCCGACGCTGGCGAGGGCGGCGGGCCACCTCCCGCGGGGGCCTCCATCTTCGACCAGCTGGACGCAAACCACGACGGGGTGATCAGCAAGGAGGAGCTCGAGGCCCCGCAGCGGCGGCCGCCCGGGCGGAGCGGGGGAGCCACGCGTGTCGGGGGCGGAAAAGAGGGGGGTGATGACTAGGGGGGGTGGATATCATGGCGCGGGCCATGATATTTCAGCAGATTTCATGGCGCCTCTTCTTATTTCATTACGTCCCAGGCCCCCCCCGCTGGGCCGCGCACATGCCGCCGGCCATGATTTGCACCCCCCCCTCTTGGACACCCCCTTCTTGGCCGCTTCCGAGCTTGCGGGAGCCTCGAGTCGGACGTGGCCAGGACGAGGACAAATCCGCTCCAGAGCGTTCCGGAACGCCCTCGGAGCTTTCTGGAACGCTCTGAGAAGACCGCGGCGCCCGCGACATCCTCCAGAGCTGCCGGATCTCAGAGATTCTCGGTTTATCCCCACCCGACTGTATCCTCGTCCTGGCTCCGTCTTATTGAGAGGCGGGAGTCAATACCAACGGGGGTCCGTCAGAGCGCCGGATCTTGCAGGATCTTGCAGGATCCTGCAGGATCTTGCGGGATCCTGCTCAGCCCTGCTGATCTGGGTCTGGATTGATCCGGGTCAGAAGATCCCCGAACGCTGCGGGTTCGAGGTTCTCGTCGGCTGTGCGCGGTTCTCCAGCCTCGGGGTGCCCTCCAGCGGCTCTGCCTCGCCGAGGGGGGCTCCAGGGCTCTCCGGGGTGTCCCAAACGGTCGCTTGGGAGCTGCTCTGCTGCCCGAAAGCCACGGGGCAACGTTTTGGGGGGGGGGGGGGGGGGCATGGGCTCAGGGGGGGGGGCATCGTCGTTTGGGAGCTGATGTGCTGCCCGAAAGCCACAGGGCAACGTTTGGGGGGGGGGGGGGGGGGATGAGCTACGGGGGGGGGGGGGGCATCGGCCCGCTATCGCCCCTGCCCCGCCGACGGGGGGTTGGCAGCCTGCCTTCTCGCTGTCGGGGCGTGTCGCCGATCTGTCGGCGAGTTACCAGCCTCGAGCGTATCCCTATCCCCAAGATCGACGCGCCGAAAGGCGATGACAATCTTGGGGGTTCGCCCTCAAAAACTAAGGAAATCCCTGAGATCGGCATCGTGATGAGGAGGTGCCCAGCATAGGGATAGGGATATGTTCCAGGCTGGTAAGCGATGCATCGCCGACTCCAGATCGACGTCCCCCCCAATGAGCCAGTCCCCCCCGTGTCGTTCCTCCGAGGGGAGCAGGGAGCCGGAGAGGCGCCGGGGGGCGATGGCCACGGGTCTTGGGGTCTCCCGTGGCAAAGAGTCCCGAGCCGTCTCCTTCCCGAGGGTTCTCAAGCCTCCCCGGGACTATCTGGGGCCAGAAAGCCTTGGGCCCATTGCCGCTCGAGTCGTTCATCATCTGCATCAGTTTGAAGGCCCCCTCGCCATTCCTGTCTGACCTGTCGTCCTCTGGCTCTTTGTCGGTGCTCTGTCGGTCTTTTCTGGGTATCATCGCCCTGTTACCTCAGGGCTAGAGCCATGCACTGTTAATTTCTGGCTCGCGCACACTCACACACACGCTTCCTTGCCGCACTCATTTCTGCTGCGGTGCTCTGGCTCGTCTGGGCTTTGGGCACTTGAGTCTTCCTTGAAGTACGAGGTCGAGCCATGTCGAAGCAGCGTCATGGCATTGAAGGCACGGTGATGGCGCACCATGAAGGTACTGATGGCGCTTGTATCACCATCACAATCGGTATCCTTCCCTCGCCATCGCCATCGTGATCGAGAGGCCCTGGACAAGGACCACGACGGCGTCATCACCCGTGCCGAGTTCGAAGGACCTGGGCGGCAGCCTCCAAAGCTAGCTCCGCTTCTCGTCGGGGGATGTTTGTGTTTTTTTTTCTGTGGGCATTCTGCGGGCACGTGCTGTTTGACACCAAGCAACTCCTGTTTGCCTCAGGCATTTCTTTTCTATGAATCGGCAAGCTATTGTGGACTACTGCGATCTGCAGGAGGGACGTCTTCAGGGCTGCTTTCAGACTCGTTCCCGGGCTGAAGCGTTGCTGGTTGTCGTTCGCCCACCTCCATGCCTCGCCTGTTTGCCCGCAGCGACAGGAATTGGCAGGATACTCGGATGACATGTTAAGCCATAAAGCCTCTTGACTCGATATTGGCACGGATGCGTGCACGCAGATCGTCCTTGAGAAGGGCGACATCGGCGGAGATAAGAAAGGCATATGGACACGTGGTAGCATTGCTAGTGGCCGCTCTTTCCACTCACGTCCTCTATTCCCTTCACAGGAGGAGGATGAGCAGTAGGCTGATGATGATGCTGATGACGATGACGATGATGGTGATGGTGATGGTGATGGTGATGGTGATGGTGATGATGATGATGATGATGATGCTGATGATGATGATGATGATGCTGATGATGATGATGATGGTGCTGCTGATGATGATGATGGTGATGATTATGATGATTCTGATGATGCTGATTATGATGCTGGTTATGACGATGATGATGATGCTGATGATGAGGATGCTGATAATCGTGATGATGCTGCTGATGATGACGATGCTGATGATGGTGATGATGATGATGATGCTGATGATGATGATGCTGATGATGATGACGACGACGACGACGACGACGATGATGATGATGATGATGATGATGATGATGATGATGATGATGATGATGATGATGATGATGATGATGATGATGATGATGATGATGATGATGATGATGATGATGCTGCTGATGCTGATGATGATGATGATGATGATGATGATGATGATGATGATGATGATGATGATGATGATGATGATGATGATGATGATGATGATGATGATGATGATGATGATGATGATGATGATGATGAGGAGGAGGAGGAGGAGGAGGAGGAGGAGGAGGAGGATAGGAGGAGGATGAGGCGAACGAGGCGGAGGCAGAGACGGAGGAATGGGCGGAGGAGGAGGAGGAGGAGGAGGCGGAGGAGGAGTAGGAGGAGAAGGCAAAGACGGAGGAAGAGGAGGATCATGGACGGATGATGTTGCTGATGATTCACTGGCTGACGCTGCACCGCCGACCCCTTGGGGCGGCAGTAAGAGTGAACAACGGAGTTTGCGGAACGATTTCTGGGGAATCTTGGGGTTTCAGTTTCTTGGGATTTTGTCGGGTGCGGTTGGCGGATCGTCGCTCTGCTCTTGGGCTTCTCTGGGCTCTCCTGGCAGCACTTTTGAGGCCTCTTGGGGGGCGTTCTGAGGCCTCTAGGAGCCTCTTTTGGGCCTCTCGGGGGCCTCGTTGGAGCCTCTTGGGGGCCCATTGGCGCCTCCTCAGGTTTTTTCGGGGCCGAGTGCTCGAAATGTTCATTCGGGTTCCCCCTCTGGGCCTCCTCTTGTCCTGGGACCCTCCTGGGTCGTTATGGAAGCTTCTGGGGCCGTTTTGGGGCCCTCTTGGGCCGTCTTGGGGGCCTCTTGGGCTATCTTGGGTCGGTCTTAAAGGCTTCTTGGGCCGTTGTGGGCCTCGTGAAAGCCCAAGAGGCGAATGTGCTAAAAATATATGTTTTCCCTAGGGAATGGTACGATCTTGGGCGTCTTGGAGCGATCTTTCGGCGACTCGTAGCCCTCGTGGACCGTCCGAGGGGCCCTTTGGAGCCCTCTTGGTGCGTTTTTGGGCCCCCTGAGACTCCAAGGGTGCGGCTGACACCTTTGCCCCCCCCCCCCCCTCCAAACTGGCCGGACAGGGCTCTCGGGGGAGGGGTTTGGGGAGGAGGAAGCATATCACACGCCGTGACCCCAAGGGGTCGGCGGATTCCCGTGGATGGGCGACATTACGGAAGTCAGCTGGCTCGCTGTGAGCGGACACCCATGTGGGAGTCCCTGTCGTCGGTGGCGGCTCTCCCGTCCGACATTGGACGTGGAGGGGTAGGACGAGGGACGTGGGCAGGAGGGGGAGGACGAGGGTCACCACCCACCAAACCACCCCCACCCAACCCGAAGGCCTCAATTTGCCCTCCACTTCCAGTTGGGGGGGGTCGGGGCACATTGAAAACACACATGCAGCCCGTACCCCCCCAACCCGAAATTCGGTCTTCTGGTTGGGTTGGGGTGGTCTGGTATGTAGTTAGAGGGATGTGGGATGATGAATTCTGAGGATGGGGAGGAGGACGTGGACGGGGAAGACAGGGACGAAGCTGGCAGCGACGATGGGGGGGAGGGGCGAGGGAGAGCGCCGCCCGTCCTCCCCCCAGAAGCCGTCGGGAAGTGCGACTACCTGGTCGACAACAGCAGGCTCCGATTGTCCCCGATGCCGGCAAGAAGGAGGAGGAGGAGGAGGAGGAGGAGGAGGAGGAAGAGGAGGAGGAGGAGGAGAAGGATGATGATGAGGAGGAGGCGGGGGACAAGCTCAGGACGTGGACGAAGGCGATGAGGAGGAGGCGGAGGAGGAGGAGGAGGGAGTGGGATGGCAGGACGAGGGATGGGAAGAGCAGTACTCGGTACGATCGGAATGGGGATGGAAAGAATGGGGCCGAAGACCGACAGCAGTTCTTTCCATTTTGAACAGGGCTCATTGCCCATTTGAAGGCAAAAGGCGCCTATAGGACAGTGGCGCTGTCGGTTTTGGGCAACACTTTCTGCTGAGCATCGTACCCATCTTTTCCGTACCCGCCGCGGGCGTGCCAACGTAGGACGAGTGGGGAGGACCAGGGGCAAGAGCAGGGCGCGCCAGCTCACGCGAGCCTCCCGCGACACGAGGATCACTGTCGCCGGAGTGCACCGGCTACTCGAAGGGTGTTGCGGCGGTCGTCTTATCCCCCCGTGCCCCTTGCTCGCCTCCTCCCGAGAACAGTCAGGACCAGTGTCTCCGCATCTGGGCCCCAGGACCGGCGGCCGCCCTCCCGCCCAGAGGCATGATGAGGCGCTCCCGCACGTGCGGCCTCCGAGAGCGGCGAAGGTCCGAGAGCGGCGAAGGTCTCTTGACGATCTGGCGGAGGTCCGAGAGCGGGCGCCGCGCTCCAGGCGGGAGCGCGACCTCTGGGAAGCCCCTCCGGGGCCTGGGGTTAAGTCGGGCCTGTCCCTCTACAGGGGGACGATCTTTTTGTTTTGAATCTTTTTCAGCATTATTTGGGTACCCTTCATTTTTCGTCCAAAATCCTCCTGTAGGGGGACAGGCCCGACCTAAGCCTGGGGCGACAGCGACATCTGGGCTCGGCGGCGCGCGGCCCGATATTCCCAGCAGGAGCTGCGAAGGGCGAGCGCGCGGCGCGCCCGAGCGGGGAGCGCAGGTGAGAGGGGCACTGTGCTCTCTTGGGGGCGGCCTCGATACCGATCGCCTGGCGAATGTTCACCACCCACCAGCTCACCCAACCCAACCCGAAGGCCCCGATTTGCCCTCCATTTCCGGTGGGGGGGGGGTCGGGGAAGATTGAAAAAAACACATGTGGAACCCGTACCCCCCCCAGCCCGAAATTCGGATTTTCGGGTTGGGTGGGGGTGGTTTGGTAGGTAGTCAGATGTACAAAAACCGTGCGCCGCTCCCGAGCGGGAGCTCAGCTTTCAGTGGGATGGATTGCGGCGCTGTGGCGAGAGCACCACTGCGCCCTCTCGAGCGGGATGCGCGTCGTCGCCTTCTTGCCGCGCACCGTTGCCACGCCGACCTCTTGCTTTCAGTGCTGAAGGGAGCAGGGCAAGCTCGTGAGCACCAGTGATCGATGGGTAGGGTGCCCCCCCGCTCCGGATCGCTGTCAGACCGCAAGGTCAGGGTGTGGGAGTCTGTATTTGTACGGAGTACGGGCACTATATCTTAGGAAAGGGAATCTCGGGGAGGCTTGTCCTAAGGGGGGTTGTCTGGTGGGATAGTCCAGATATCCGCCGGGTTGTTAAAGGAGCTGTCCGGGAAAGGCAGTCTTGTCGCAATCAATCACCATGGGTTGTTTGTGTTGTTGGGGGGATTGGGTTGCCCAGGGGCTCTTTTGATTGAGTATGCTGTTTTCCATGGAGCATAATGACAGGCCGGTTGGGAGGATGGGCAGGGTGAGGATGCCTGCAACCGCGAGGCCGAGGCCGGGCTGGGCGCCCGCGAGCTCCGGCTGCCCCAGTGCGTTTCTTCTGCCAGGCCCCCGCCCTGACCGCCGAGGGCAGCCGGCGGAAGCGGGCCGGCGTGCGCTCACGCTCTGTCGCTGCCTCGGGGGCACGGGCGCGTGCGCCCGGGCGCCCGCGGGTCTCGAAGGATACGCGCTTCGCGGGCAATGTGTGCATGCACCGTGCCGCGCCGGCGTCTCCCGAAGCGAGGTCGATCTGCGGCCCAGGAGAGTGGTACGGTGTCTGGCCTATCGGCTCCTGGAGCCGAGAAGCTGCGCACCGTGCCGCGTGTTGCAGCGAGGCCCGAAGGGAGTTCAGGCATGGCGCGGTGCCCAAGCGCCGCTTTTCGTTGGGTCGGCAGAGAGGCAACTTCGGGGCGAGCCAGTGCTGTCGTCGATCCCCTGCTGGAGCCTCCGCGCGCCAGGGAGGGCGGCCTATTAGCGCGGATTTCCGAGAACTCCGCGCGGGGCGTCAAAGCCTGTGCTGCTGCCGCTCTTGTCGCCCTCCCCCCCCGGAAAGGCTCGGGACGGTACGCGGGGGCCTCGCGTACCGCCACAGCAAGAACCTGGACGACAAGAACTATTCCGCGGGGGAAGACGGCGGACCGCCGTGGGGAAGCATCGTCGCCGGGGTCGACGAGGGGGACGGGTGGCTGAAGCTGGGGCCAGAGTGCTTCCTGCCCATAGAGGTGAATGGCATCCGGGTGCTCACCCGGGTGGACACCTCGGCGCGGGCGACAGAGCAGGATCCGCAGAGGGCACCCAGTCACCTGACCACCACGCCAAGGAGAGGGCCACCCTGGGCCCCACGACTGCCCCCGAGTCGTGACGTCGCGAAGAACCGGCATCGCGAGTTGGCGCGACCAGAGCCCCAGACACATTTTCCCCGCAGCATGTTCCGAGCCTGATCGATCCGTGAGGGTCCGCGGGCCCGAGGCAAGCCACAATCGCACGCTGCAGGAAGATGCGACGCCAGGATCTCAGGGCTGTGCGGACCATCTCATGGACCTGCGGCCAGGAGGGCGCGCGATGACCACAGCGCCCCCCCGCCCCGACGTGCATCACCCTCCCCGAGCGTTACCGTGACCCTGGGCCCCAGCCCCCCCCCCCCTGGGTAAGGATTGCTACCAGTAAATAATTTACGCGCGCAGCCCGTAATTTGATTTTCGGGAGGTAGACAGGATGATTGACATAATTGAGGTGAATCACCAACGCCGTTAGATGGCAGTTTCATTTCCAGGGGTGAGGATATTTCGTTGGCAAATTTGAGTCAAGGCGGTGAAGGTATTTCGCTGGCAGCTTTAGGCCAGGGTGGTGAGGATTTTTCGCTGGCATTTTTAAGCGAGGCGTGTGATGATACTTCGCTAGCAGTTTTAAGGGAAGGCGGTGAGGATATTTCGCTGGCAGTTTTTGACAAAGGGCGTGATAATCATTCGCTAGCAGTTTTAAGCGAGGGCGGTGAGGATAGTTCACTGGCAGTTTAAGTCAGGGGGTTGAGGATATCTCGCTGGCAGTTTTTGGCCAGGGGCATCAGGGCTCGTGGACTTTTTAAAGCAAGGGGTGTGGAGATACTTCGCTGGCAGTTTTACGTCAGGATGGTGAGGATATTTCGCTGGTAGTTTCAATCGAGAGGTGTGAGGACATTTCGCTAGCAGTTTGAAGCGAGTGTGGTGAGGATATTTCACTGGTAGATTTAAGTCAGGTGGGTGAGGATATTTCGCCGGCAGTTTTAGGCCAGGGGCATGAGAATATTTCGCTGGCAGTTTTAAGCGAGGGCGGTGCGGATATTTCGCTGGCAGTTCTAGGCCAGGGGGTTGAGGATATTTCGCTGCCAGTTTTAAGCGAGGGGTGTGAGTATATTTCGCAGGCAGTATAAGTGAGGGCGCCGAGGAGACTTTTCTGGCAGTTTTAAGTGAGGGGGGTGAGGATATTTCGCTGGCATTTTCAGTGAGGGGTGTGAGGATATTTCGCTGGCTTTTTAAAGCAAGGGCGGTGATTATATTTCACTGGCTGTTTTGAGCGAGGGTGTGGGAATACTTCGTTGGCAGTTTTAAGCGAGGGCTGTAGGGATATTTGGCTGACAGTTTTACGCCAGGGGCGTGGGGATATCTTGCTGACAGTTTTAAGTGAGGGCGGTGAGGATTCGTCGCTGGCAGTTCTAGGCCAGGGGGTTGAGGATATTTCGCTGGCAGCTTTAAGCGAGGGTGTGAGGATATTGCAGTGGCAGTTGTAAGTCAGGACGGTGAGGATATTTCGCTGGCAGTTTTAAGCCAGGGGGCCCTGCCTTGCCCAGCCGAAGGCTACGCATCCAGCGCGGTGCTGCGCCCGTATAAATCCTCACCCCTTGGCGTGGGGCTGGCGGGGGGCCACGTGGCGAGCGGTCCGTTGTTTTACAAAATCACTGTCGAGGGCCGACATCGAGGAAAAACGCTTGGATTGCAACTCGGGCGTTTCACGGTAAATGCACATGCATTGCTTTGTCTGTAAGATCAAGTTTAGGTGGATTAGACGAATTTGCATTAGCTCCCATATCAATTCAGTGCAGGCTCACAATTAACGGGCACTAGCGACAACTACACAGGACACACTGTTGGGGTAGGTGGAGGGCTGCTGCTGCTGCTGCTGCTGCTGCTGCTCATGGTCAGCATCGGCGCCCAACATCCGTCTTTGGCGTCGAGCCGAGCAGATTTACGCATAGAGTAAGTATGGCTGGGTGGTGCCAATTCCTGCCCCGATTGCAGCAGTCACATGTGACGTCGTCAACAAGGCCTTGTCTTCGAGGATCGAAGGAGTTGTCGTCTCTTCCGCGGCGGAAGGTCGGCGGAAGCAAAGCGAGGCCGCCTCCGCCGGCGGAAGCCGGCGGAAGCTCGGCGGAAGGCGGCGGAAGTAAACAATGCGCCCCCAAGAGATGAAAACGTTTTTGGCTTCAGGGGTTCCGACATCGCCCACACCGTCGGAGGTCTGGGTGCACAGCGGCGCCCTCTGCGCCCAGGAGGCAGAGGCCGAGGCCTCCGCGCCGGAGGAGGACCCCGAGCGCAGAAGGCTGCGGGCCGAGCTCGAGGACCTCTACGCGGAGTTCCACAGGCGCCCGTCTTCTCGATCCCCTGGCGGTGGCGGGCGTGACTGGGCAGGAGGGGGAGGGGCCTAGACCCCTAGACCTTCTCGTGTCTGGGGAAAGAAGCCCTCCTGCGTTGGATTCTCATCCTGGAGAGAGCACCGCAGTCGCAACCTCCTCCTCCCCTTCCCTGCCTCCTCTCTCCCTCCTGCCTCTTACCTCGCTCTCGTGTTTCCCACCTGCCTGTCAGCCTGCCTCCTACTTCGCCAGTGCTGGTGGGCTGCAATCTGCCAAACTGTCGCCACTCCGGAGTACCTCTGGGGGGGGGGTCCAGCGGCCAGACGTCATACGCAGCCATCGCTGGGGGGTTGCGAACTGTAGCGCTGTCGCCGCTTTCGAGGGCTGCTGGGGGTCCCAGGGGAGTGACGTCATACGCATATTCAGATTAGACCTCGCCATCGATCGGGGGCTGCTAACTGCGAAACGGTCGCCACTTCCGAGGGCTGCTGGGGGGTCCAGCGGCGTAGCGTCATATTCAGATTCAGGCTAGACCTCGACATCGCTGGGGACTGCGAACTGCGAAACGGTCGCCACTTCCGGGGGCTGGTGGTGGGGGTCCAGCGGAGTGACGTCACACGCAGATTCAGATTCGACCTCGCCATCGATGAGGGGCTGCGAACTGCAAACTGTCGCCACTTTCGAGGGCTGCTGGGGGGGGCCAGCGGAGTGACGTCATACGCAGATCCAGACTTGTCCTCGCCATCGCTGGGGGGCTGCGAACTGCAAACTGTCGCCACTTTCGGGGGCTGCTGGTGGGGCCCAGCAGAGTGACGTCATACGCAGATTCAGATTTGACCTCGCCGTCCTGAAAGGTTTGTGAACTGCAGCACTGTCGCCGCTTTCGAGGGCTGCTGGGTTGTCCCAGGAGAGTGACGTCATACGCAGATTCAGATTCGACCTCGCCATCGACGGGGGGCTGCTAACTGCGAAACGGTCGCCACTTCCGAGGGCTGCTGGGGGATTCAGCGGCTTTGGGCTTCTTCGCAGCAGCGTTTGGCTGTACCTCGCTGCAGCGTTTGGCTGTTTCGCTTCCTTCTCGCACGTAATGTTTCACAGCAGCTACACCGTTCCTTCTCGAAGGGCCAGCGTGCTGAGTACGCCTGTCGCCTGTCTTCATGCCGCCCTCCCGGGCGTGGACAGCTGCGTTCTGCGTTCTGCGGATTCAGAAGGTTAGACCTCGCCTTCTGTTGGGGGGGGGCTGCGAACTGCAACACCATCGCAACATTCTGCTGCCCAGTTCCAATGGAGTGACGTCATATGCAGGGAGCTGGGGGGTTCAGCGGAGTGACGTCATACGCGGATTCAGATTCGATCTCGCCATCGCTGGGGGGCTGCGGGCTGCGAACCTGCCTCAAGTGCTGTTGGGGATTTAGCGTCGCGCGGTCCTTCGCATATTCAGACCAGACCTCATCATCCCTTGGGGGCTGCGAGCTGCGAAAGTGTCGCCACTTTCGTGGGCGTCTGGGGGGGTTCCAGCGTGGTGCGGTCCTTCGCAGATTCAGAATAGATCTCCCCCTCTCAGCGGGGCTGCAAGCTGCAAAACCGTCGCCACTTTCGAGGGCTGCTGAGGTGTCATCTTGAACCCCCCTGTTCGTTCTTTGACGCAGTTGGCCTGCGGACCTGCTCGTTCTTCCAAGGATTTTTTTTTTGAAGCGTGCCAAGCCAGTGCCTCCGGATGCCATGCGCATTTTTCGACGCAGTGTTATCTCTCGAACTCGCACGTTATTCCACCTGCCTGGTTCGGAGCAGGTTCGCAGCATGTCAGACTTGCGCGAGGAGTGATAGTGGTGGTGGTGGTGGTGGTGGAGGAGGAGGAGGAGGAGGAGGAGGAGGAGGAGGATGAGGAAGAGGAGGGGGCGAGTTTGGTTGCCCTTCGGACCCCAGGACGCATTGGCCATTTCGGGACTCCCTGAGCAGCCTTTGACGCCGTTGTCCTTCGGACCTGCACACTGTTCCAGCTATCCTAGGCGAAGCGTGCCCTGCCTGTGCCGCCGGATGCCGTGCGCAGTTCTTTGACGCAGCTGTCCGTGGAACCTCCGCCGTCTGCCACGCGTCTGATTCGGAGCATGCTGGACCCGCGCGAGGGGAGGAGGAGGAGGAGGAGGAGGAGGAGGAGGAGGAGGAGGAGGAGGAGGAGGAGGAGGAAGGAGGGGAGGAGGAGGAGGAGGAGGAGGAGGAGGAGGAGGAGGAAGGAGGAGGAGGAGAGGAGGAGGAGGAGGAGGAGGAGGGGAGGGAGGAGGAGGAGGAGGAGGTGGCGGAGTAGGCAGAAGAGGGATACGTAGCCCATCGGACGTTCGAGCGTCTGTTTCCCTGGGAGCTTCGTGGGGCCCCTTGCCCCGGTCGCGTTGGAGCGATCTCGAGCCATCTTGCGACCCTCTGAACATTCTGTGGCGCAGTCGGCCTTCGGACCTGCACTATTCCATGTATCCTTGGTGAAGCGTGCCGTGCTTGTGCCTCCGGATGCCATGCGTTCTTCGATGCAGATGTCTTGCGGGCTTGCGCGTTTTTCCATTTATCTGGTTCGGAGCTTATCAGAGTTGCGCGAGGAGTGGTGGTGTTGGTGGAGGACGAGGGGGAGGAGTAGGTGGAAGAGGATTATGCAGTGCATCGGACCTTCGACTTTACTTCCCCTGTGGTTCAATCGTTGTTCCCACCCAGGGCGCACGGGATCGACGTGGTGCCATCCTGGGACACCCTGTGCATTACTTGACGTAGTTTCCCTTCGGACCTGCACATACTTTAGCTTGTCCTATTCGGAGCGTGCACAACCGCACAACCTATGCCTCTGGCCCCATTCCTGTGTCGTTGAAATGCCACAGCCCCGTCCAGGCCGAATCGCTGTTGTCGTAGGCGATCGCTTCTGTTCGGAAAAGCGTCGCCATCGCCCCTTTGCAACAATCCATTTCCCATGCATGCTCGTCTGCGCTCCGACGGCGGCCATTCTCGCAAGCTTTCAAAAAGGGTAAGTGGCGGTTCTCGGCCTTTGGGGACCTTCGCCGGGGGGCCGTCGAGACGCGACTCGGGGCGAAAAGTCGGTCCCGGGAAATTGGTCGGGGCCTCCGAGGATCGACGATGCGAACAAGTCTTGACGACGGGGGATTGCAGGGCGAGGGGGCCGCTCACGTCGCGATTCGCGCCCACGCCGTCTGTGAATGCACGTGGGGTGACCAGAGGGAGTGGAGAGAGGGGTGCCGGGGCCAGTCGCGGGCGTCCACAGGAAATGATTTTTTTATTCGGTGAACCCGTAGCGTCCGTTCCGAGGGGTCGCGCCCCCCCCCCCATCCGCCCCCCCGGTAACGGCACCGAGCGGGGGCGGGGGGATGGGGGGCATTTCCCCCGCAGGCACGGTGCTCATCAGCATGCCGTGGGGCTCGCAGGCCCCCCCCCCCGCCCACCCTATAATGGACGCTGGGGCAGTAAAAACAGCCTCCAGGCGCATGGGCGCGGCTGCCGGCTGTGCGCCGGGCGCGCTCGACGTGCCCGCCGTGGAGGAGCTGCCCCTCGGCCTGCCCGAGCCGCGGGGCGGCGCGCACGACCTGCAGGACTTCCGGGAGGGCGAACTCGACTTCCGGCCGCCCCCGTCGATGCCGCGGGGGCCTTTGGACGTCAAGCTCTGACCGGCTGGCTCACTCAGGGGCGGCGACACGGGGGCGGGGGTGCTGGCCCAGGGCAGGTCTCTGGTGTTGCTAGAAGTGCCCCTGGCCCAAGGTACCCCCAGGATTCTCGGGGTGGCCCAGACGGCCTCCAGGGCACGCCTCGGGGGCCCCAGGGGCTCCAAAATGGCGCGAAAAGCTTGGGGCACCTTGGCCCAGGGGCACTTTTAGCAACACCCGAAGGTCGGGCGGGCAGATCCCAACGGTCGAGTCTGGCGGGCGGGCCCTGACGGGGCGGTCGGGCGGGCGGGCAGGCTTCAACCGGGCGAACCGGCGGACCCTCGCGAGCGGGCGAAAGGGGGGGGAGCATCGACCGCCCTGTCATCGCCCGTCGAGGCCTGGGCCTCCTGTCCCGCCCAGGAGCGCGCAGTTTCGCCACCGAGGATCTGTCGCCGTCCATTCGGCGATTCGCCGCCGAGTCCCAGTCAGTGTCCCCCCCCGCTGGGCCAGTCGCCCCCCCCCTTGTCGTTGCCCCTCACCTCCTTCGCGCCCTGTTCCCCCCTCTGCGCGGCCCGGAAAGGCAGGGCTCGCCATGCAGTGCTCCATCTCCTCAGGGAACCCTTTTCTGCTCTGCTCTGCAGTCAGCGTCGTCGGCGCCGTAGTCACTGCCGCCGCCGTCGCCGGTTGCGCCTTGGTCGTCTCCGCCGCCATGGGAGGGGCAGGGGCATATTTTTACCAAGACGTGATCGCGAAGCAGGCGAGAAAACTATCTGGTGCCTGTGCCCCCTTGTAGAACGGTGGCTGGACCCGTCCGAGGCCAGTGCCCTGTCGGCGCCGCCGAGCGGTCGCGCTGCCGCGTGGTCGCCGCGCGTCGTCGCCGCCGCCGTTGCTGCTGCCGCCGTCGCCGCCGATGCTGCCTCCGTAGTCAACGCCGCCGTCACCGCCGCCGTCGTCGCCGCGCGGCAGCCGCCGCCGCCGCCGCCGCCGCCGCCGCCGCCGCCGCCGCCGCCGCCCGACCGCCGCCGCCGCCGGCCTCCGCCGCCGTCGTCTCGCGTCGTCCGTCGTCGTCGTCGTCGTCGTCGTCGTCGTCGTCGTCGTCGTCGTCGTCGTCGTCGTCGTCCGGACACGTCGGTGTCGCTTCGGCTCCGCGGGGGGCGTCGGCGTGCGTCGGCGTCGGCGTCGCGTCGGCGTCGGCGGTGGCGTCGGCGTCGGCGTCGGCGTCGGCGTCGGCGTCGGCGGCGGCGGCGGCGGCGGCGGCTTCGCCGTCGGCTTGGCTTTCGGCGTCGGCGTCGGGCGGCGTCGACGTCGGCTTCGGCGTCGGCGTCGGCGGCGTCGGCGTCGGCGTCGCGTCGGAGTCGGCGTCGGCGTCGTGCGGCGTAGGCGTCGGCGTCGTCGTCGTCGTCGTCCGTCCGTCGTCGTCGGCGGCGGCGGCGTCGGAGTCGGCGTCTGCGTCGCGTCGGCGTCGGCGGCGGCGTCGGGTGGGCGTCGTTGCGTCCCCCCCCCCCCGGGGCGTCGGCGTCGGCGGCGGCGGCGGGCGTCGGCGGCGGCGGCGCGGCGGCGGCCGTCGGCGGCGTCGCGGCGGCGGGGGGGGGGGGCGGCGTCGGCGTCGGCGTCCGGCTCGGCGGCGGCGTCGGCGGCGTCGGCGTCGGCGTCCCGGCGTCGGCGTCGGCGTCGGCGGGCGTCGCGGTCGCGTCGCACGTCCCGGCGTCGGCGTCGGCCGTCGTCGTCGTCGTCGGTCGTCGTCGTCGTCGTCGGCGCGGCGGCGGCGGCGGCGGCGGCGGCGTCGGCGTCGGCGTCGGCGTCGGCGTCGGCGTCGGCGGCGGGCGTCGGGGCGTCGGCGTCGGCGTCGCGGCGGGCGTTCGGCGATCGCGTCGGCGTCGGCGTCGGCGGCGGCGTCGGCGTCGGCGTGGGCGTCGGCGTCGGCGTCGGCGGCGGCGTCGGCGTCGGCGTGGGCGTCGGCGTCGGCGTCGGCGTCGGCGTCGGCGTCGGCGTCGGCGTCGTCGTCCGTGCGGTCGTCCTCGCCGCCGCCGTGGTCGCCCGCCGCCGTCGTTGCGCGCCGCGCGCCCCGCCCCTTCCGCAGCGCTGACCCGCTCGCGCCGGGCGCGCGCGGGCCGCGCCCACCAGCGAGGCGAGGGCACGCCGGGTTCGCAGTTCGCGGGGCCGCCGCCAGGCCCAGCTGCATCGGGGGAAGTTCTCCGACGCCGCCTCCGCAGCTGCCGTCGTCGTCGCTGCTGCCACCGTCGCCGCAGTCGTCCCTGCCCTTGCAACCGCCACTGTCGCCGGCGCCGTTGTCGCTGTCTTACTCGTCTTCGACGTCGTGGTTGCCGTCGCCGCCGTTGTCGCCGCCGCCGTCGTCGTCGCTGCCGCCGCCGCCGTCGCTGTGGTCGGAGTGGTCGTTGTCACAGTCGTCGGTATCGGAGTCGTCGTAGCCGTCGCAGGAGGCGGCAGAGGAGGAAGAGGAGGAGGAGGAGGAGGAGGAGGAGGAGGAGGAGGAGGAGGCCGCCATCGTCCCCGCCGTGTTGGTCGTTCCCCTATCCTCTCCTCTTTTGCACTGCTGCTACCTAGCTTTTCGACCGCCCCGGACTTCGTCCAGGGCGGTCCACGGCTTCGGCCCCACTGCGGGACGAGACGGCCGCCAGCGTCGAACGTCGAGGATGCGGAGGATGACCAGAGTAAATCCAAGATGCAACGACGATGCTGCAATACACCCGTCCCTCCTCATCAGTCCCTGCAAGTATTCTTTCTCGCTGGAAGCGAAGCGCCCCCGTGTGAGACCAGCACCGATGGGCCTGCCATTCAGGCAAGAGCCCTGAAAAGGAAGCCTTGCATTCTTCTAGCGCGTGGCAGGGAATGCAACAAGGTATGATCCATACAGTTCAGCGACCCCACCCTCCATCCTTGGAGCTGTTGCAACATGCTGCGACTAGTGTGCGCGGAACTCATTCGAGTGCTCCATTAGGAATATGGGCCGCCCTCAAGCTTCTGTTTGTTTAGTGAACTTTTATATGACGAGCATGCGCGGCGCTGAGGTGAGACCCCATTTTGAAAAGACCCATCCTCCATCCCTGTAAATGACAGACTTCTACTAGACGAATATACGCGGCGCTACTGCGAGAGACTCGTTCCGAAGACTCCCCCCTCCATTACTGCAACTGTCGCAAGCTTTCTAAACGAATGCGCGCGGCGCTAGGGCGAAAGCGCGGCAAGCTCCAAGTTGCAGGATCATGAGTGGTGTGGAAGACCGAGGCGAAACGCCTGGCCCGGCACACCGACACGGCTGGGGGTGCGGACGGTGAGCGGTTCCTATAAGGAAAAGGGGATGGATGAGGAATGGCCAGGGAGAGGGGACAAGAGAGAGAGAGAGAGAGGGAGAAACAGAGAGAGAGAGAGAGAGAGAGAGAGGATAGGCAGACAGGGAGTGGGTCCATTCCAAGTTGCAGGGTTACGAGTGGTGAGTGAGCCTCGGGCGAGACGTCCGACCCGCCTTGCTGATGCGTGTGAGGGTGCGGCAGGGAAGAGCTACTTGTATGGATAAGGGACGGAGCGCGTGCCGGCAGTGGCCGCGGTGCTCTCCGACGCCGCCGCGGCCGGGCTGCTCGGGCGCGGTGGAGGTGCACGCCCTCGTCGCGGTCTTGCTTCTCGCTTCTTTTCCTTCTTCTTTCTGTCTCTTGCCTCCTGCCTCGTGCTTCCTGCCTCTTGCCCCCCCCGCCCTCCTGCGTGCTCCCTCCGCCACCTTCGCCTCCGCATTTGCCTCTTCAATCCTGATCTTCCCCTTCCTTTCTCCCTCCCGCTCCCCCTCGTCCTCTCTCCTCCTCTCGCCGCCAGTGCCACCCAAGATGCCGCCGACGTTGACTCTGGTCCAGCTCGAGCCCAGGGCTCAGAGGATGCCCCCGAGGGCGAGGTCGGCGCCGCGCGCGGATGCTCTCTGGGCTGCCGGCCGCTGAGTGTTGCTGGTCGTGATTGGGCTGGTGCTGCTGCCAGTGAGTGCTGCTGGCGCTGCTGCTGGTGCTGCTGCTGCCGGTGAGTGCTGGGCTGCCGTCCGGCTGGTGAGTGTTGATGGGGGGGGGTCGGGTTCCGGTCGTGATTTTTCGCTATGGTGTTCTTTTTTTGGTGCAGTGTCACATTTCGGTGTTCCCCGGAAGTCCCGACCCTCTCCCATGGTGATGGGCGTGTTTTCCACCACCACCACCACCATAAGTTGGAGGGGGAGGAGGAGGAGGAGGAGGAGGAGGAGGAGGAGGAGGAGGAGGAGGAGCAGGAGGAGGAGGAGGAGGAGGAGGAGGAGGAGGAGGAGGAGGAGGAGGACCTCTCCCCCTCCAACGTATGGTGGTGGTGGTGGAAAACACGCCAATCACATGGGGCCAGTTTCTTCTTCCGAGGCGTTTGTTCTGCCGGCCCCAGGGCCCAGCGAGGGCCTCCGGGGGTCGGCAGCGGCCCCGAGCCGTCCCCCGCCGTGCTATGGAATTCACGACGCGAGCGCGTCCCGGCATCGGCCCTCGATCCTCGGTCCTCGATGCTCGATCGATGCTCGATGCTCGATCGATGCTCGATGCTCGCTTGATGCTCCATGCTCGATCGATGCTCGATCCTCGATCCTCGATCGATCCTCGATCGATCCTCGATCCTCGATCCTCGATCCTCTGTCCTCGTTCCTTGATCCTCGATCGTAGGGGAACAAAGAGTGGCATAAACATACAATCTCGGAGGTCCGCGCGGATTTCTCGGATACCCCCCTGGCGGCGCCTCAGGCGCCGCCCCTGGCGCGCTCCGCGCGCCAGGGAGGGGGGTCCAGCGCGGATACGAGAAATCCGCGCGGACCTCCGAGTTTTATGTTTATGTCACTTGTTGTTCCCCTACGATGGAGGATCCATGAACGAGGACAGAGGATCGAGGACCGACCATCGAGGATCGATCGAGGATCGATCGAGGATCGATCGAGGATCGGTCGAGGATCGAGGATCGAGCATCGATCGAGCATGGAGCATCGGTCGAGCATCGAGCATCGATCGACCGATCGATGCATGATTGATGGCTCGCTCGACCTCTGCCCCTCGACCCTCGGCCCTCGCAGGACCTCTCCGCCTGCGGCTCGCGGCGGCCGCCGGGCACGCGCCGGCGCTCGCGGCCCCCTGTGGTTCGGCGGCGAGCCCCGGGGGGGCTGCCTCCGAGGAGGAGGAGGAGGAGGAGGAGG